TTATGAGAGGCAAAGGAACAACAGTAGAAGAATCCCACTCATCCACAGTTTCTAGGGTAAGTTCCAGAAGGGACCTCCCAGTCTAGCCTAGTAGACTAGAAGTCCCTCATGATCCCTGACTCCTGGCAGTCACTGTGTAATTGCCCTTCTTCAAGAGTGGGCCTCCAGCCAAAAGAACACAAAGATGGTGGCATCTACATGTTTGTATCTACCTCAGTATACACCTTGTTTGTCCCTCTCCAAAGCTGGTTTTGAGGATGCAATATTCTATCAATCTTACAGCCAGAAGGAAATGGATTCTGCTAACCTCAGAGTGTGAGAGCAGACTATTTAGTTGAGACCCTAATAGGTACCAGGAGGAAACCTTTAATTTGCAGCATTGGAGACCCTAAGAACACCCCGCTAATGTGTATCCACACTTATGACCCACAGAAACTGAAGTAATTGTGTGTTTAAATAAGACAGTTTTATGTTTGTTGTAACTGGCTTTACAGCAATATGAAACAAAGATGTATCTCTGAAGCCTTTCCTTTCTAGACTGCTCTGAAAATGCAACTTAACATTTAGATATGTTCCTCCAGCTATGAGCTGCTGAGATTAGTTATTTAATCAAACTTTTCTCTTTGGGTGAAAATTAACCAGTGTCTACAGAACATTCACATTAGTACAAAAAGAGAAGGCACTAAATGAGACGGGGTTATTTTTATTCTCACAAACGTCTTTCTTCAACCGAACTACAGGCAGGGACACGTGGAAGCACAGACTTCAGCTAGACTGAGCACTTGCTGAGGTGAAAAAAAACAAAGAAAGAATAACTTCACAAGACCCCATTCAACAGAAAAAGCTTGGCATGGTGGTAAACACCTGTTCTCCTAGCTATTTGGGAGGCATAAATAAGAATTTCATGGGTGCAGGCTGGCCCAGGTATAAATGTGAGGCCCTATTTAAAAAATAACTAGAATATAGCTGTGAGGACAAGTGGGGCAGGAAGACCTGCCCCATGCTGATGTCACTGCCCTGCGCTGATGTCACCACATCCCTCCAGCCCCCCCACTGCAGGGGAGGGTGTCAAAGGGGGTTAAGCTGTGGGTGGCTTGTGGAGCAGGCCACCAGATATAGATAGACAGGGGGTTTGGAGGGAAGAGGGGGAGAAACACAAATGCAGGTAGGGAAGTGGCAAGAGGCATTTCCCAGAGCAGAGTGAAGAGGTCCGTGGAAGGCCTAGGAGAGGCAGAGAGGCCTGCAGAGTGGAGAGGTGAGACCGTGGGAAGGAGGAAGGAGGGAAAGGAAAAAAATACAAACTCACCCCTTTCGAGGCTGCAGCTGCTCCTGGTTCTGAGGTAGCCTAGGATAGGGCAGTTGCAGACCAACTAATAAAACTTCCTTGTCACCCTTAATCGTGCCTCTGTGGATTTTCTCACTCCCAGGTCATTACATAGCCTGGTGCTGTTGGGTCACACCTGTAATCCTAGCTACTCAGAAGACTGAGATCTCAGGACTGCAGTTCAAAGCCAGCACAGGCAAGAAAGTCTATGAGACTCTTATCTCCAATTAACCACCGAAAGCCAGAAGTAGAACTGTGGCTCAAGTGGTATAAGCACTAGCCTTGAGCACAAAAACTCAGGGACAGCAGCCAGGTTCTGGGTGCTAGGTGCTACGTTCAAGCCCTATGACCAGCATGGTAAAAGGAGTTAGAGGGGCTGGAGCCATAGCTCAAGTAGTAGAGCATCTGCCTAGCAAATGTAAGCCCTAATTTCAAACCCTGGCAATGTCAAAAAAAAAAAAAAAAAGTCCTCTGAGTTTCTTTTTTTTTTTTTTTTTTGTCGGTCGTGGGGCTTGAACTCTGGGCCTGGGCGCTGTCCCTCAGCTCTTCAGCTCAAGGCGAGCGCTCTACCACTTGAGCTACAGCGCCACTTCTGGTTTTCTGGTGGTTTATTGGAGATAGGAGTCTCATGGTCTCTCCTGCCCGGGCTGGCTTTGAACCGCGATCCTCAGATCCTCCTGAGTAGCTAGGATTACAGGCGTGAGCCACCAGCGCCCAGCTTCCTCTGAGTTTCTATATCCTCCAGGCCTTATACATACTGGGTATACAGTAATTGTTTAATTAAAATGGTAATTGCCAAAAAAACCAACCAACCAAAATGAACTGCATTTAGGATTATTAATGCATGAGACTATGCTTCATTCCACACCCACATTTCACCTGACACTTCTGCCTCTATGCACTGCTCATTTCTGGACACTGGTGACTACCACCTGCAATCATAGCTACTTAGGAGACAGATCCAAGGACTGTGGTTTGAAACCAGCCCAAGCAGGAAAGTCCATGAGACTCTTATCACCAATAAAATACCAACAAACAAAAACAAAAACCAGAAGTAGAGCTGTGGCTCTATGGGACACAGCCCAGACCCTGAGTTCAAGACTCAGGACTAGGGCTGGGAAGGTGGCTCAGTGGTAGAGTGCTTGCCTTGCATCTCTGAGGCCCTGGGTTTGATTCCTCAGCACCACATAAGCAAAAAGAGAAAAGCCAGAAGTGGCGCTGTGGCTCAAGAGGTACAGCACTAGCCTTGAGCTGAAGAGCTGAGGGACAGCGCCCAGGCCGAGCCCAGGCTGAGTTCAGGCCCCACGACCAGACGCAAAAAAAAAAAAAAAAAAAAAAAAGACCCAGGACCAGCACAAAAAAAAGAAAACAAAATCAACACGTAGGTAAAGCCAGTTGGGCTGGTTGGTCAGTGCTGGTGCTTCCAGTGCTGAACTGCAGAAAAGATAAGGGGAAAGAAAGGGCCCCAACCATCCAGGGATATTGCATCTTCAGTGAGCTGCCATAAATTCTTCTCACATTCCTACTCCCCCATCCCCAGATATCTGAAATACAAGAAAACAGAAGTTCTCCCTTAAAGACTAATTATTTATTTGTTTATTTATTTATGCATGCCAGTACTCAGGGCTTGGGCACTGTTCCTTAGCTTGTTTGCCAAGGTTAGTACTGTACCACTTGAATCACACATCCACTTCCAGCTTTTTGCCGGTTAATTGGAAGTTAAGTGTCTCACCAACTTTCCTGCCTATATTTGCTTTGAACTATGATCCTCAGATCTCAGCCTTTTGTAGCTATGATTAGCATGAGCTACCAGCTTCTGCGTTTTCTTCTTTTAAATATTATCTCAACTACTGACAGAGGCTGCTTTAAAATTTAAGGAGCATTTATTTTGAAATGCCGAAAGGAGGGATAATCTATTGAATAATTCTGTCAGTGCTTCTATACTCTTAATGCATGATTTAAAAATGTACAGGGGCTGGGAAGGTGGCTCAGTGGTAGAGCGCTTACCTTGCATGCTTGAAGCCCTGGGTTCGATTCCTCAGCACCACATAAGCAAAAAGAAAAAAGCCAGAAATGGCGCTGTGGCTCAAGTAGTAGAGCACTAGCCTTGAGCTGAAGAGCTGAGGGACAGTGCCCAGGCCCAGAGTTCAGGCCCCACGACTGGACCCAAAAAAAAAAAATGTACAGAGAATTGGGTGGCCACTAGTGGCTCATGCCTTTGCTGCTCAGGAGGCTGAGATCTGAAGGTGCAGGTCTGAAGCCAGCCTGGGTATGACAGTTCATGAGACTTTCCTGTATAATTAACTAAAAAAGGCCAGAAATGGAGCTGTGCCTCAATTGGTAGAGCACTAGTCTTGAGCAAAAAAGTTCAGGGTCAGTATCCAGGCCATAAGTTTAAGCCACAGCATCAGCACCAAAAATAAATAAATTAATTAAATAAATTACATAGAATTGAATATGCTTTATCCAGGCACTGTATAATAACAAAGTTCAGGCCCAGTTTCATCTAAAGTAACAAAATAGACATTATTTCTGATACAAGTTTAGGAATAATATGAATCCATATGTACCCACATATTAACAGCCAGAGGCATGGAGCAGCAGTCTAGGCCATTCTAGTATCACATTCTATGTGTCTTTACTTTTCCTGCATCTCTATGCTCTCTCTGGAAGACTAGGCTCATGGAGGCAGGGAGCATGTTTGCTCAGTTTTGGATTTGCTCCAACACAGAGCAGTATTCAATAGAGACCGCTATGGTCTAGATATAGTTTGTCCACACATGTCCATGTGTTGAAAGATTGGTCTTTGATATAAAGGTATTGAGAAGTAGTAGGATCTTTAAGAGGTGGGCCTAAGCCAGGCGCCAGTGGCTCATGCCTGTAATCCTAGCTACTCAGGAGGCTAAGACTTGAGGATAGCAGTTCAAAGCCAGTCCGGGCAGGAAAAGTCCATGAAACTCTCCAATAAACCACCAGAAAACCAGAAGTGGCGCTATAGCTCAAGTGGTAGCACGCTAGCCTTGAGCTGAAGAGCTGAGGGACAGCACTCAGGCCCAGAGTTCAAGCCCCATGACCGACCAAAAAAAAAAAGGCGGGCCTAATGGAAGGTGACTAAAGGTCTTCTGTTAGGCTCGTGACATCATGGGACACCATATACAGAAAGGATTCATATCCACTTTGTGAGGGCAGGTTACTGTTAAGTGAATTAATTATTATTATTTAGCTTGTTTTGGCTAGCTCCCTCACCTCCTCTATTCCACCACCTCACCACTCTTCCATATGCAAGAAGCCATCAGCCATGTTATAACACTGCAGGAGGCCCTCACTAGAAGTTTCCTGAACTTGGATTTTTCAGTGAACCCAACTGTTAGCTAAAATGAACTTCTTTTCCTTATAAAGAAGCCAGTCTCAGGTATTTTGTTATAACAAGAAATGGACTAAGACAAAGCCAAAAAAGTTGTAGTGTTTGGTTAAATGGGGAAACAATTAATATAAAAAGTTAGCAATCGTTAATGTCAGTGGATCTAAATTTAGATATTCAAACAAAGTGATTCTTGCCTATTTTGGAGTAAAACAGGGGAAAAGGGGAGAGACCATTAGACTAAGTAATAGTTAAAACCTGGAAGTCTATAAAATAGTAAAAAGAATCATGGCAGCTTTAGCCAGTGAAAATGACTAGGGTTTAAAACACTTTAATGAGAATACTTTGTCACTGACTTTGGACAAAAGAGAATTACACGTTTAATCTGAAGCTGTTGTGGCATCAGGATTTTGCTCCTTGCTCAACAGGCTTTAGATGCCACTGCACTACTAACTCTCCTGTGCTCTTGAGGCACGTGCTGGACATATTCTCTTCTGTTGGAAGTCCTTGTGGCAGCTTCAGGGGCTTGATTCTGTGATGTAAGGAAAATGGGTTTAGAATTACATGGAATAACATATTTAAAAACTGCTGAGAAGATAAAACAACAAACCTTATCAAGTGCTTGACAATTTTTAGTTTTGCATTCACTGAAGGAATGTTCTTGTGGACTTGAGGGGTATGTGCCTATGAACAGAAGGAACAATGATATGTGTTAATTTAAAAAGCACAAGGTTCTGTTTTAGGAAAACATGGAACTCAATGCTCATTTTGTCTAAACCAGACTTACAAATAAGTATGTTAAGTAATCACTTACATTCAAGAAAACAATGAATATATACCAGAAAGTTAAAAAAATAAAATTAAAGCATAACATTTAAAGGAAATTTAACACTAATGACTAAAATAGTTATGTACCTTTTGTAATCCAAGCATCTTTATAATATCTTTTTCCCAATATGGACGTTTTTGTGTACTTTTTATTCTGGTAACAATGTGTAATTTATGTGGGTGCTGTGGATCCCCACCATACTTTTTATGGTCTTCAAGTGAAGCCTGAAACACCTAGAAAGACAATTACAAATAGAAAATTTCTTTTGTACCTCCTTACACACACAGATACAGACACAGACACACAGACAGACAGACACACACACACACATCTACATTTCATTCTTCATTCAGAATCCTTACATAATCTTCAACCTCAAACACTTCAACCAGTATAGACTGATTCCTCAGAGTCTAAGAGTTCCATATGCTAGGAAAATATCACCTAGTTAAGGATCTTATTTTCATAAACTGAATCATAAAGCAAACAACCACATTTACTAAAGAATTCAAATGCAAGGACTACAGACTTAGAATATTACATCTGAAAATCTGAAATTTGAAATGTTCTAAAGCCCACTAAATTCAGAGAAATGCAGATTTTAGGCTTTCAATTTAGTATACTAAACTCATATAGTCTATGCAAATCTTCCAAAATCTGGAATTAAGGGTTAAGATATCGAATCTTATTCTGTAAATCTTATAATTTTGTTTGGTTTTGGTTTTTTTTTGTCATGGGGCTTGAACTCTGGGCCTGGGTGCTGTCCCTCAGTTCTTCAGCTCAAGGCTAATGCTCTACCACTTGAGCCACAGCACCACTTCCAGTTTTCTACTGTTATATTGGAGTTTTATAAAAGGCTCACAGACTTTTTTTTACCATGGCTGGCTTTGAACTGCGATCCTCAGATCTCAGCCACCTGAGTAGCTAGGATTATAGGCGTGAGCCATCAGCACCCAGCTTAATAATATTTAAAAAAAACCAAAAAACAAAAACTACAAAACTGAAAGACTCCCTTCCTAAAAACCGATTTCCCTCTCAGGTTTCACAAACCTAAACATACTTTTTACTATACAACCCATCAATGGGCTCTAGGTATTTGCCCCAAGAGTAGGAAAGTTAGTCCACACAAAGACCTTCACACAAGTATTCATACAGCTTTATTATTACCAAAAATAGAAGCAATCAAGAAACCCTTTAAGAGTTAAATGCATAAATAAGCTAGGTGAACAATACACTGGAATATTATGCTGCAATAAGAAGTAAGACATAAAAAGCCACGGAAAAACCATCCTTTACAGACATACTATGTGATTTCAATGATGTGATACTCTATAAGGGCAAAAGGATAGCTGGACACTGGGGGCTCACATCTGTAATCCTAGCAATTCAGGAGGCTGAGAAATGAGGATGATGGTTCAAAGCCAGCCTGGGTAAGAAAGCATGTGAGTGTTATCCCCAATTAACCACCAAAAAGCCAGAAGTAAGCTATGGCTCAAGTTAGAGCACCAGCTTTGAGCAAAACAAACAAAAAACCTAAAAAGCCAAGGGGCAGTGCCATGGACCCGAATTTAAGCTCTCTAGTACCAGCACGAAAAAAATTAAAAGAAAATAAAACTATAGCCAGAGTGAAAATACTAGTGGTTGCCATACTGTAAACTATGATGTTTAGCTGATAATGTGTCAGAGTTATTTTGTCAGTTTTAATGATAGTACCATACCAATACAAGTGATGTTAAATACCAAAGGAAACTCTTTAGGATGGGGGAAGAAAGTACATAGGAATTCTACATCATTTCTGGTTAATTTTTCTTTAAACTTAAATGGCTTTATAAAAAAGAAAAAGGCCTGTAATTAAAATGCAAACTAAAAAAAATAATAAGACAAAATGAAAACCAAAATCAATGGAGGGCTTAGTCTATGTTTTCTGAAAGAATGATAAAGGGAAAAGCTGAAAGATTCTAAGTAGCAAATATTGACATGGAAAGGGAAAGTGAAAAACTGAGTGAGCAGGAGAGGCCACTGTTTTCTCAGGATAATGGTGAGACAAAAATGCAGGGAGCTACTTAGCTACTAGCTACTTGGGCTTAGATCTCAGAATTGCAGTTCGAAGCTAACCAGGGCAGGAAAGTCTGTGAGACTCTTATTGTCAAACATACTCAGAAAAAGCCGGAAGTAGCACTGTGGCAAGTGGTACAGCACTATCCTTGAGCCAAAGAAGCTCAGGTACAGCGCCTAGGCCCAGAGTTCACTCAGGACCAGAAGAAAAAAAAAATGCATGGAATCCAAAGGATTAAAAAAAAACACAAACCTGGGGCTGGGAAGGTGGCTCAGTGGTAGAGCACTTGCCTTGCATGCCTGACACCCTGGGTTTGATTCCTCTGTACCACATAAGCAGAAAAAAGCTGGAAGTGGAGCTGTGGCTCAAGTGGTAGAGAGCTAGCCTTGAGCTGAAGAGCTGAGGGATACTGAGCAGGCCCAGAGTTCAGGCCTCACGACAAAAAAAAAAAAAAAAAAGCCATGAACAGCAAAGAAACTAAGAAATAATAGAAACCTGTTTGTGTGGAAGGCCAGCAAGGGCAGGTTTACAGCAAGGTAAGGTTTACACTGGTTGAGTAATTGACTGCCCATGCTGGGGCTTGAACTCAGGGTCTTGTGTTCTGCCTTGGCACTCTATCATTTGAGCCACACCTCTACTTCCATTTTTTACTGGTTAACTAGGATTAGATTCTTTCGGACTTATCTGTTTGGATTGTTGGGCTTGTTGTTGATCTTCAAATCACAGTCTCTTGAGTATTTAGGATTATAAGTGTGAGCAACTGATGCCTGGTCACACTTTTTATTTGCAGTCATCATTTTCATTAATCTAGTATGTTTTATTCTGCCCTATAATCTATATCCACATACTATTTCACATTAAGAGTTCGATAATACAAAACAGGTATCCCTTAAGATTTTATTTAAAAAAAAGTATCATTGAAAAACAGAAATAGAAACCACATTTCCTACTTTATCTGGAATTCTTGATCTGGTAAATTTATGACGAATCCAATCTGTACCAATGAGGGACTCCACACCTTTTGTCACAGTCTAAAATAAGATATAAAACATTTGTACTTTTAGAACATCTTTTGTCACAAATATGATATAAAACATGTTTGTGTGTTTTTAAGAAATCTATATTGTGTGGTAATCTATACTTACCAACCTTTAGGTAACACAAGTGTGTTCTGATCTAACCTACAATCTATAGATTTACCTCAGCTTATTAGGTAAATGAACATATCCCATCTAACCCACTGAGGTATTATAAAGGGCCAGACAGTAAATACTTTCAGGTTTGGAGCTACCCAGTGTCTGTTCTCAAGAATTGACTCTGCTCACATAGAGAAAAAACAGTCAAAGTCAATCTGCAAACAAATGGGCCTATGTGTCACTAAAACCTTATTTATAAAATCAAGTGGCATTGTATTTGTACTGAAGATCATGATTTACCAATTTTTGCTTTGACAGCTTTGACAAAATAAACCCAAATAGACACAAAATAATATTGTTTTCTTTCTAGTCCTAACAATGCCACCACAATGTAATTCTTCCTCATTTCATGCCTTCTCTATATTCCTACAATCCTATTATTCTCACTCACTACCAACCTCATAATAGAGCAAGACACTTTGTGCATGGGGAATAATCATTCCCTTCCAACCTTCCCAGCATTGCTGAGAGGGCATAAACAGAAAAACAAATCGTTTAAATAGGGATACAGGTGGACCCATTGCAACAATGAGATGTACAAGTTGTTATGTCGAAAAATGAACTTTACAACTTTGGCTGGGGGCGGGGAGGGGGGGGGGGTGAGGAAGATGGGAAGGGAAGGGAAGGGGAAACAAAGGAGGAGGCAACAATGCTTGATAAGAAATGTACTCATGGGCTGGGAAGTTGGCTCAGTGGTAGAGCGCTTGCCTTGCATGCCTGAGGCCCTGGGTTCGATTCCTTAGCACCACATAACCAAAAATAAAAAAGCCGGAAGTGGCGCTGTGGCTCAAGTGGTAGAGTGCTAGCCTTGAGCTGAAGAACTGAGGGACAGCACCCAGGCAGAGTTCAGGCCCCACGACCGGACCTCCCCCTCCTCCCAAAAAAGAAAGAAATGTACTCATTATCTTGCCCATGTAATTGTAACTCCTCTATACGGTATTTTCACAATTAAAAAAAAAAGAAAAGAAGCAGGACTGGGATGAGACAGAGGACACATGAGTTTCTAATCCTGGTTCTGTTGCCTTATAGCTTTGAAATATAACTCTTAGAGGCTCAGTTTCTATGGCACTGAAGAGAAAACAATATTGATTCTTCCATAGGATTAATCTGAAGTGAAGATAATGTATTGAAGTAGCTGACATTATTATAATCCATAGCCAGTAACAGGTCTACATCAAGGCCCAGTATGTAGCTGTTGTATCCAGCCTGGTCCTTAGGGGGACATCAGTCTATATAGGTACATTTGGTAAAAGGTCAATAAGAAGGAAATACATGAAAATAATAGCATGTCTCTCTTCTCTGGGAGCTTCTATTCTGTCTTACTAAATTTTACTGCTTTTCTATGAAAATTTCATTAATTCAAGGGTATCCCCTATAACTTTAGGGGAAGATGAAGACTGACCAAAGGGAAGCCATGGTAGCCACTTTAAATTATTTTTTTTGGCATGTTCTCTACAAAAAGATGTTTTGTGATGGAAAATCTTTAAGAAGAAAGTAGACCAAACAAAAAGGACTGGGGTTACAGTTAGGTAGTGCAGCATCTGACTAGCATGAGCAAGACCCTTGGTTTGATCCCTAGGACAATAAAACAACAAAACCTAACAAAATTAACCCTCAATATTAAAAAAGACTAACATTTTAAAAGATTATACATATGTGTGTGTGTCTGTGTGTGTATGTGTGTGAAAGTTTTATAATTACAACGTTCCACCATCAACAACAACAACAACAACAAAAACAACCAAAAACCCTAAGGAATAGGGGAGGAAAAGATTCTTAAATAGACACTTACCTGCAGTCGGCCTGGGGGTGTCTGGACTACTGAACGCAAAATCCCTGCCATAAAGGTAGTCCTGTTCTCTGTAGAGGCTGTGAGAAGTAGAAAACAGACTCACCAGTCAAATATATCTTAAAAGTGGACAGATTCCCCATGCTTTTTTTAATGTTAAAAACACAGGTAATAATTGTATTTCAACCACATCCTATTTCCCATATAACTAGGAAGTGGGAGTTTTCTACTGCTTTAAATATCTTCAACAATGAGGGCAGATAGAGAATGCTGTAAGGGTACCACAGAAAATCCAATCTGAAAAAGATCCCAACTCATATAATTGACCACCCTTTTAACTTTATGTACAAGAAAAATAAATCCTATAAAATTCTCATTTATCCAAGCATATCAGGTTATGAAGAAGTTTGTGCAGCTAGGTATTGGTGGCACATGACTGTAATCTATCACTCAAGAAGCAGATTATATGCTCTAGAACCCAATTCTATATAGTTTAATCTAGTGCATTTTCCCTAAGTCATAACACCTTTCTATTCAAAGGAGAGCTTACTCTTTTGCTTATTTCTAAATCAATTCTTAACATATTTGTATTGCTTCTATAGTTTAAATGATTTTATTTAGATACACCAAAACAGCTGCAGTCCACATGCTGATGTGTTCTGAGAACAGAACAATAAGATTCACAAATTGTATTTTATCCTGGATAGGATACTTAATTTGTGTGTTTCAATTTTTTTCTGTAGAAAAGATCAGAGCACCTAGTTTGGAAATGAGCCGCTTTACAAAGCACCTGATACAGTAACCCTTGATAAATAATACTTTATTATTAGATTATGAAGTTAGTATCCACCAGATTCTAGCTCACTCAAGCTCTACGAGTTTTTTGTGATGTAGACAAAGCAGGGAGTTGTAAGAACTAACCAAGATTTTCCTAAAAGACCTAGACCTCAAAAAAAACAAAAAACAAAACTCAACCACATTCAGCAATGGAACCAATCTAATACTAAATTATTTTTTACCATACTTCCTCCAAAGTTCAGCCTTATATACTAATTCAACTCATTTAGCTTCGTACTTCCATAAATTTTCCTCCTATTCTTAAAACTTCAATGAAATCCTCTGCACTATGCTTCTTACTTCTAATCCCCTAATAACTTTTTTCTGTAACAGCAGTTAAGACACCTCATTGAATCAGGTTACTCTGATCCAAACTTTCCAAAGAGTCAGGTTTCTCACAGCTGAAGTAGGTAACACGTAAGAAAGAAAGGCTAGAACAATCCTTGTACACTTCATTAGAGGTAGAACTCTTGTTTACTTTTCCAGAGCTACTAATGGATATGGAAATAATTATACATATGTAGGCATATATGAAATAGTTCTTTTAGCTGAGAAGACTTAAATCAATAGCATCTAGTAATAACAAACACAGCATCCAAATTTTGGTTTTATTTTGTGCTGGTCCTGGGACTTGAACTCAGGGCTAGGGCACTGTCCTTTTTTGCTCAAGGCTAGTGCTCCACCACTTGAGCCAAAACTCCACTTCTGACTCTTTGGTGTTCAATTGGAGACAAGAGTCTCCCAAACTTTCCTGCCTAAGATGGCTTTGAGCCACAATCTTCAGATCTCAGTCTCTGGAGTAGCTAGAATTACAAGTGTAAGCCAATGGAATCTGGCAGCTACTGGCACCTGGCCAAATTTTGGTCTTTAACAGCATTCTCTAATAAGAGGAACCAGGATTTCAAGAAATGACTGGTAATGTCTGGTGCATCTTGTAGTACCAGAACTACAAAGCAAAATGCCAGGAATATGTTAAAGAGAGACTGAAGCCAAATGGAAAAATTCCCAACAGCAAACAATTAAAACATTAAAAACAAAAAGGTAATGAAGTATTTAGCTTATAGTCAAAACTACAAATAACCACTAAGGCCATACTGATATGACTAAGTATATTTTAAAAAGCAAACTTATGGTCTTGGGCTTTCTAGGTAGGAGCCATACCACTTGAGTCAGGCTGTCAGTCCTTTTTACTTTGGTTATATTTGAGAAGAATTTTACTTTTTACCCATGCAAAAATAGATCAATCCTTTGATTAATGCTTCCTGCTCGAGTCTGAAGCATACACCATGTCCAGCATTATCTGTTGGGATGGGGGTCTTTTTTGGGGGGGTGACGGGGAGTCTGGACTTGAACTGTGATCCTTCCAATCTTAGCCTCCTGAGTTAACTACTATTTCAGGCATGAGGCCACAGCATCCAACTAAGTGAGTAGATAAATTCATGAGGGAATAGAAACATCCTGTACAGAAGAATTCTACATAATTTGTGTGGATTCTCTACTTTCAAGGAAGTATAGCAAAGCTCTTTTAATATGAGTTATGGGTAGTAACTTGCTCTCAAATAGTAAAGTACAGAAGAGAATGCTAACAAACATTACCTCAGTCAGGCCATTAGGATTAATTAACATAAACTGATAAAAGTCAAGTGGGTAACATGTATATTTAATAGGGTACATACTGAAAGTGTACCCCTCCCACCATCCTGGGGCTTGAATTCTGGGTCTGGGTGCTGTCTCTGAACTTCTTTTTTTTTCTTTGGTCGGTCGTGGGCTTGAACTCTGGGCCTGGGCGCTGTCCCTCAGCTCTTCAGCTCAAGGCAAGCGCTCTACCACTTGAGCTACAGCGCCACTTCCGGTTTTCTGGTGGTTTATTGGAGATAGGAGTCTCACGGTCTCTCCTGCCCGGGCTGGCTTTGAACCGCGATCCTCAGATCTCAGCCTCCTGAGTAGCTAGGATTACAGGCGTGAGCCACCAGCGCCCGTCTCTGAACTTCTTTAGCTCAAGGTGAGGGTTCAACCACTTGAGTCACAGTGCCAATCCAACTTTTTTTTTTTTTTTTTGGGTCCGGTTGTGGGGCCTGAACTCTGGGCCTAGGCGCTGTCCGTCAGGTCTTCAGCTCAAGGCTAGCGCTCTGCCACTTGAGCCACAGCGCCACTTCCGGCTTTTTTCTTTTTTCTTATGTGGTGCTGAGGAATCGAACCCAGGGCCTCATGCATGCAAGGCAAGCGCTCTACCACTGAGTCACCTTCCCAGCCCCACAATCCAACTTTTTTGAGTAGTTTATTGGAGATAAGAGTCTCACAAACTTTCCTGCCTAGGCTGGCATTGACCTGTGATCCTCAGATCTTAATTAAGATTTCAGGTGTGAGCCATTAGTGCCCAGATCTTCCTCCCATTTTTAAGAGAAAACCACATTGTTCAGGACAACATTGTGAAAAACACTTGAATTATCAAATGTAATGGGGTATCCTGGGCAGGAGCCTAGTAAACAAAAGGCATTGGGAAAAGCTATGGAAATATGAATTTAAGAAGTATGAACATTAGTTAATAAGGCATTATTGGTTCACATGTTGTAACAAATGTATCATACTAATATATGATGTTAATTAAAAGGGAAATTGGGTGTGGCATTTGTAGGAATTATCTTCACAATTTTACTGGGAATCTAAAGGTAGCTCAAATAAAGTTCATTTAGCTGGGCACCGGTGGCTCAGGCCTGTAATCCTAGCTATTCAGGAGGCTGAGATCTGAGGATCGCAGTTTAAAGCCAGCCCAGGCAGGAAAGTCCCCCAGACTCTCATCTCCAATAAAACCACCAGAAAACCGGAAGTGGTGCTGTAGTTCAAGTGATACAGCGCTCACCTTGAGCTGAAGAACTCAGGGAGAGCACCCAGGCCCTGAGTTCAAGCCTCATGATGGACAAAAAAAAGTTTATTTAAAACTCTGAACTACATAATTTGAGGATAGGAATGGGAGGGAGAAGAAGGGAGACCAATGGAAGAGGTGACAATGAACAAGAAGCACTGTCCTCATAATCTGACTTACGGAATTGTAACCTCTTTGTACAAGTACATTGTCATCATCACAACATGAAACTTTCAGTGCCTTTCCATTTAATTACAATGAGAACCAATGCCCTATGTCTCCACATCTCATTCCCCTGCACATCACTGTCAACTTCCCCAGCCACCTGTCCCATCCCCTCGGCCTTTATTACTCTGTCTTTATTACTAAAAAAGCTTGACCTCAAACTAGTACAGCAGAGTACTCATTTGGCTAGAATGATACTGACCTAGCTAATCTTTTTCTTTCACTTGTTGGCTCAAATTTCATCTCAGTGAAGTCTATCTTGATCACACTGCTTAAAAATCTCGCCAATATAACTCCATTCCTAGTCCCTGTTATTCACCTTGTTTTCTTTTCTCATAGTACTTATTATGTTCTAACTTAATTATTTGTTGGGTTTGTTTAGTACGTCTGTCTCCACTCAAAGCACAATAATTCTATAGAACAAGGCTTTAAAATTTTTGATTTGTTATATTCACAGATGTATCCCAATCATCTAAGTATTTGCTCCATAGTAGGCACTCAACTTATTGAGCTGAATGAAATTACAGACATCAGAAGGTATAAATAAAAAACTACTGTTTGTTTTTGTTTTTTGTTTTTTTTGGGTCCGGTCGTGGGGCTTAAACTCTGGGCCTGGGGCGCTGTCCCTCAGCTCTTCAGCTCAAGGCTAGCGCTCTACCACTTGAGCCACAGTGCCACTTCCCGACTTTTTTTCTTTTTGCTTATGTGGTGCTGAGGAGTCGAACCCGGGGCCTCAGGCATGCAAGGCAAGCGCTCTACCACTGAGCCACCTTTCCAGCCCTTGTTTTTTTTCTGTGCTGGGAACTGAATCCAGAGTCTCATTCATGCTAGGTAAATGTTCTGCCACCAAGCTGCACCCCCAGATCCAAATGTTGTAGGGTTATGTATATGTATGCTGGCCCTGCTTCTAGAACTCAAGGCCTGGCACTGTCCCTGAGCTTTTTTTGCTCCAGGCCAGCACTCTACCATTTGAATCACAGCTCCACTTCCAGCTTTTTTTTTAAATGGTTAATTGGAGGTAAAAGAGTCTCACACACTTTCCTATCTGTGCTGGCTTTGAACTGAGCTCCTTAGATTTGTCTCCTGAGTAGCTAGGATTACAAGCATAAGCTATCAACACACAGTTCAAAGGATGTGTTTTAATAAAATAGAAGTTTCTCTTATTAGGTACTGTCCTCTACTATGCAATAACTTTTCTCCACTTGGTCTTAGCCAAAAGATGGAGAACTAATAGAACTCTTGTGCAACTGCAAAATCAGGAAAACACTATGCATCACATAAGAAATGTGGATCCATTTCAATATTTTTAATTATTATTATTATTTGTGGTGATTCTGGGTTTGAACTCAGGACTCCAGGATGCTTTAGAAGCTGAGCCATGCCCCTAAGTTCATTATTGCTTCAGTTATTGTTTGAAAAGCAATGTTTTTTGCTCAGTCTCAGGCTTTCATCTTCCTACCTATGGCCTATACAGTAGTGGTGCACCACTTTGCTAATTTTTTGCCAGGGCTGGTCTCCCACGTTGATCCTTCCAATCTCTACCTCGGAGTAGTTGGGATTACAGATGTGCAATATTGTCCATGGCTCCATGTCTATTTTTTGAATGAATAAAACTGTGCATGCATAGATAGTCAAAAACATAGGAACATACTCCTGTTTTGGCAGACTACAAGGATATTCTTTCTTGAATTGCTCCTATAGTGTCTAATAATTTAGAACGCCTATTCATGTAAATAGTTCTTAAAAAAATAATTTCTTAAGCCCGGTGCCGGTGGCTCATGCTTGTATTCCTAGCTACTCAGGAGGCTGAGATCTGAGGGTTACAGTTCCAAGCCAGCCCGAGCAGGAAAGGCCTTGAGACTCTTATCTCCCCCAATTAACCACTAATAAACCGGAAGTGGCGGTGTGGGTAAAGTGATAGAGCGCTCGCCTAGAGCTGAAGAGCGCAGGGACAGCGCTCCGGCCCCACGACCGTCACAATAATAATAATAATAATAAAGTTCTACTGATCTCCAACGCGGTTCCAGATTATGCATAAAGCAGATACACAGAAAATGGTGAATGCTAAACGTGAGTTCCCATTCCCAAGCTGTCTCCCCTGGGGACTCAGGGTTCAACCACCCCAGAGGAGGCGCTGCCGCTGGCGGGCTTTTCGGAAACCTGGGATGAGATCCGTACGTGCTCCCATTAGGTCCCCGTGATCCGCCAACTCAAATGGATAGGGAAAACTGCTCGGCGTCGGCAGTCTTCCCAGATACTCACTCTTGGTGAAGACTGCAGCATTTACAGCGTGCAGCGGGCCAAAGGTCCAGCCTCGATTTCCCACCGAGGGGAAGCTGAGCAGAGGTCAGACCACGACGTGCTACCCTCGAGTCAGTCCGTGTGGCAGCAGCGCGCGCGCGCGGCCCTCGGTTCCGAGCGCGAGCACCTCAGTTCCGGCCCAGTCCCCCCCATTCACAGAGGACTGAGGGGAGGGTGCGCAGGCGCGCCACGCGGCCCCGCCCCCCGGAAGCGCTCTAGGCGGCCCCAAGTTTACTTCGGGTAGGGGTGGAGGCGAATTCTCGATTTGTGGAAAGGATGGCGAAGTCCGGGCCGGGGCAGGATCCAGACATGACAGCAGCAGCCACAGTGCTCAAGCGGGCAACGGAACTGGACTCGGAGTCCAAGTTCCAGCAGGCGCTGGTGTGCTACCAGGAGGGGCTCGACCTGCTCTTGCGGGTTATGAAAGGTGAGCGGGGAGTACTGGAGGAAGGGGAGGACCGGAGGGAGGATCTGCTTTCCTAGGCGGCTGAGGGGAAATGAAACTTAAGAACTGTTCTTCCAAACTCCGGAGCGGAAGACGAAGTTACACTCCTGGGTAGCAGATTCATTGATTACTCCAGGAAAGGAAGGGATACCACTCTAGATTTTAAGAGCTTTAAAAGACATAGCCCAGCGGCCGGGCGCCGGAAGCTCACGCCTGATATATATGTATCAGTAATGAGATACATTGACATCGTGTATCCCTAAAACATCATGTCACTTCTGTGATTTTAGTGCTTCAAAGGCATAGCCACATGAGAAAACATCAGATCAGCCAAAGTTAGAAACATTTTATGACACATAAATAATCTTCCATCAGCAAGGTTATAAAAGATTAAAAACTGAGGAACTACAGTAGATAGAGATTAAAGATAAGTAACAAGTAAATGCACAGTGGGATCCTGGACCAGAGAAACCTTCCTGTGAAATTCAATGTTTTTAAAAATTAGAGATTAGGCCAGGTGCTGGCAGCTCACACCTTCAGGAGGCTGAGACCTGAGGATCAGGAAAGTCCAATAAATTACTCAGAAAAAGTAGGAAGTGGCACTGTGGCTCAAGTGGTAGTGCACTAGCCTTGAGAACAAAGAGGCTCAGGGACAGAGCCCAGGCCCAGGAGAGAGAGAGAGAGAGAGAGAGAGAGAGAGAGAGAGAGAGAGAGAGAGAGAGAGAGAGAGAGAGAGAGAGAGAGAGAGAGAGAGGATTAAATATGAAATTACAGAAAATATAATGTAAAAAGAAAAAAAGGAGAGAGAACCAGAAGTAATATTGTGGATGCATAGTAAAATTTGATAGATAATGAATATTGAGGAATAAGTTCTAGTTGCTTATGGCTGACACATGTAGTCCAGCTACTAAAGTGACTGAGGTCTGAGGATTGCAGTTCGAAACTAGCCAAGGCAGGAAATTTCATGAGCCTCATCTCCACTTAACCACCCAAAACCTGGAAGTGAAGCTGTAGCTGTGGTAGAGTGCTAGCCTTGAGCAAAAAAGTTCAGGGACAGTGCCCAGACACCGAGTTCAAGCCCCAGGACGAATACATCTGCTGGCTGGAATTGAGCATTAATTACAATGGGAGCATCTGCAAGAGAAGCTGGTTTTATGGAAGACTGCTACTCTTTGCTGTCTTCTAAATATATAAAATTCGAATTAGGGTAAATAGTGCTCAGACTTAAGGTTGACCTATAGTAAGCCACCTTTCTCATTTCTCACACTGCCAGATTTGATATCCCACAGTTGACAAGGTATCAGAACCTCATTCCTAAACCCAGCTATCCAGTCACAGTGACCTTTATATTTGTAGTTTTTAGGACTGAAGCAGAGCATTCTGAAGGATAGGACATTTGTAGAAAACTTGAAAAAATGGAAATAATGCCTGAATTAAACTGAAAAAAATGTTAACTTGAATTTTTTTAATTTATAGGTATTAAAGATAATAATAAGAAATGTAATCTCAAAGCAAAGTTTTCTCACTACATGGATAGAGCAGAAAATATAAAGAAATATTTGGACCAAGAAAAAGAAGGTAAAAGGGCTGTTTTATAAAATGTATCCAGGCCTGGGGATATAGTTCAAAGGCTGAGTAGTTGGCCTAGAATGTTTTACCAGGGATGGAGAACCTTTTCGTTGCCAAGGGCCGTTTAGATATAACATCATTCATGGACCATACAAAATTACCAACTTAAAAATTAATCTGCTAGATTTAGTCCAATATTTAATTACTTCAACCCAAATGAGACAAGTAGAACTGCTTATTTTTGATGAGGTATATGGTGTTAATGTGTATTGATGTTTATCCCTGGGTTCACTCCCAGTACCACAAAAGAAAAGGAGGGGGGGATGGTGGGGTAGAAAGAAAATGTGTTCATATGGTATCATTCATTATTGCTGGCTTCTGTCTAGTTCTATATGGAGTAGACCATTTGAACCTGGGGGCTTTCCAATTTACTATACATTTCTTCTCCTCTAGTCCCTTTATTTTTTAAGTGGATATAGGGTAGAGTCAAAACCCCTTCGAACATTTGATAAATGCTATGCATTATGTAGAACTTTGGCATTTTTAAAGAATTTGCAGATCCCATGAAGCTTATGTGTGAACCCCAGATAAGAACTGCTAGAAGAATACTGAATGTGGATCCTGTCTTTGATTTTTAATTCCTTAATAAAAGGAACAAGGTCATTACAGTAGCTAAAGAAACTCCTGAGACTTCTATCAGATTTTGTTGTGAATCAGAGCCTATTCCTAACCATTAGAGGTGAGGTAGGTATTTTTCCCTATGTATTAGTATTTCCCTACTCAAAAAGCATGCAGTTTCATAGATATCTGTATGTGGGCATTGCCATCCTCACACTCCTGCTTTCTACAACCAAAGATACTGTTGCTAGCCTTGGGTGTTTTTCCCCTAGTCACTGATGTGCACAATGAAACAAACCCCTTTGAACAATTAATGTATGCTTATAGATTAATAAGAAAATAAATTTGGCTGGCTTGGCTTTAAGAGTTGATGTATAGTTGGTAACATCTCTATGGAAATGCTCTGAACAGAACATGTGTGTTTCCCTTTTTCAGTGGTCATGGGGATTGAACTGAGGGCTTCATGTGTGCTAGCTAAATGCTCCATTACTGAGCTACATTATCAGCTGAGCTTTTGTTTTAAATTACTCAGAAAGCTTTCTTTTTTTTCTTGTTTTGGGGGGGGTCCGGTCATGTGCCTAAACTCTGGGCCTGGGCGCTATCCCTCAGGCTCTTCAGCTCAAGGCTAGTGCGCTACCACTTGAGACATAGCACCACTTCCAGCTTTTTTTTTTCTTCTGCTTATGTGGTGCTGAGGAATCGAACCCAGGGCCTCAGGCATGCAAGGCAAGCGCTCTACCACTGAGCCACCTTCCCAGCCCAGAAAGCTTTCTATTGTTTTTCCCTGTCAGTCATAGGTCTTGAACTCCAGGCCTGGGTGTTGTCCCTGAGCTCTTGCTCAAGGCTAGCATTCTACTACTTTGAGCCACAGCACCATTGCCAATTTTCTGGTGGTTAATTGGACTTTTCTGCCTGGGATGGTTTTGAATATCAGTCCTCATATCTCAGCCTCTTGAGTGGCTAGGATTATAAGTGTGAACCACCGGCACCCAGCCATTTTAAAATATGTAGCTTTCTGATAGTGCTTGTGCTTTCATCACTTGCATAATTGTTTTCACCTTGTTAAGAAAAACACTTGCTTTTGGCAGATATTTAGCACACAAGGAACTAACTGGGCCTGCTGGCATGTTTTTTTGTTTCAGACAACCTTATAAAACAGAAGGGCTGGAGACCTGGCTCACCTAGCAGTGCCAGATGAGTAAACAAAGCTGAGAAAGCTGCACACAGTTGTTTCTAAAAGCTTTATTTTAGTTGGACACCATTGACTTATACCTGTAATCATCAAGAGGTTAAAACCTGGAGGATTGTAGTTCAAAGACAGTGTAGGCTTTCAAGATTCCATTTCTAACCAGCAAAGTGCTATATTGGAGGTGTGGCTCAAGTGCCCTGAGCAAGCAAGCCAACCAAGGACAAGGCCCTGAGTTCAAGCCCTGGTACAGTACATATACAGACACACACAGACACAGACACATACAAATTGTTTAGTTTTCATAGCATAAGCCTTTCAAAGACTTGACTAAGCACAAACCACATGCAGATTCTTGATGTTTTTCCAGCTTTCTTGGTGAAAAAGTAAACAGTAGCCTAGTTTTATTAGAAGCTGAATTGTAGGAGTGCCCATTATGGTACAGCAAACCGTGGACCATTCTAGGTGCCTCTAAATATTATCTGGTAAAGCAGAAACAGTCCACTAGAGGTCATATTTTTTTAAAAACCAAAAAGGGGTTTGAAAATTTATTCAGTTATTCATTTTGAATTTACAAAACTAGTAGAACTATCCTGTTGATCATGTGACAATCCCCTTGTTAGCTTGGGAGAAATAGTAATGCAAATTTCTGCAGAGTGCTCTATAACAAACTTAGCATGTTACAAGCCCCGAGTTTAGTCCCTAACACGAAAACCAAAGAACTAAAACAAAAAAAAACCTGAAATAAATTAAGTATTAATAAGAAAGACTTCCTAACTGTTAGGTTGTGTTTTTATTTAATAGTTTATCTGTTAAACTGCAGGTATAAAAAGACAAGTATAAAGAGAAGGACCAGATTCCCTGATTATATCTGTGGTTTTTTTCCATGGTAAAAGGAACTTACCAGATACTTTTTGCACACACAGTCTTCTCTTGAATAAACTACCTGGTCTTGCTGTACATTGCTACTCAGGAGGCTGAGATCTGAGGATCACGGTTCAGAGCCAGTCAGGGCAGGAAAGTCCATGAGACTCGTATCTCCAATTAACCACCAGAAAAACCAGAAGTAAGTTGTGGCTCAAAGTGGCAGAGTGCTAGCCTTGAGCAAAAAAGCCCAGGGACAGAATCCAAGTCCTGAAGTTAAGCCTCACTATGGACAAAAAACAAACAAAACAAAACAACAACAACAAAAACAACTGCCTGGTCTGAAGGGTCCAGGTCACGATCTGTTCCAGAAAATCTTGCCTATCCCTCTTACTCTGCCAAGGCAAAGACCACCCATGGAGTACTTTTGGCCTTCTTAACTTCTATATGTGTAGCATTTTGCAATACTGCATAACACATTTAGAGCAGGCACTCAATACATAATGAGTGAATAAGCTAAAAATTAATTTGTAACTGTTCCTGATTAATCACTGTATATGAAATATAAAATGTGTAAAAAGAAAGTGGACACTATTACTACTGAAAACTGTTTTGTAGATGGGAAATATCACAAGCAAATTAAAATAGAAGAGAATGCAACAGGTTTCAGTTATGAGTCACTTTTAAAAGAATACCTTAATGAGACAGTTACAGAAGTGTGGATAGAAGATCCTTATATTAGACAAACTCATCAGGTAAGTGAGATGTACTAAAACGTAATGAAATTGAATTTTAAATGTATAGTCGGCTGTCCATATCTGCAGATTCTTTATCCATAGACTCAACTGGGTATCAAAAGTATTTTTTTTTAATTTAATTTTATTTGTGAACATACTGTACAGAGGAGTTACAGTTACATGGGCAGGATAATGCGTACATTTCTTACCATGCATTGCAGCCTCCTCCTTTGTTTACCCTTCACATCCCTTCCCAGCCTCCCTCCTCCCCCCCTAATCCCAATCCTTCTCCTTCCCCCCCTTCCCCCCTCCCCCCCCCCCCCCCGAAATATACTTTTTTTTTTTTTTTTTTGGGTCCAGTCGTGGGGCCTGAACTCTGGGCCTGGGCACTGTCCCTCAGCTCTTCAGTTCAAGGCTAGTGCTCTACCACTTGAGCCACAGCACCACTTCCAGTTTTTTTCTTTTTGCTTATGTGGTGCTGAGGAATCGAACCCAGGGCCTCAGGCGTGCAAGACAAGCGCTGTACCACTGAGCCACCTTCCCAGCCCCTCAAAAGTATTTTTAAGTTAAACCTATACGAACATTTACAGATCTTTCTTGTCAGTATTCCCTATACAACACAGCATAATAGCTAGCTATTTGTACAGCATTTACATCATTTTAGATATTATAAGTAATCCAGAGGTGATTTGAGGAGAATGTATTCAAGGTCTATGCTGAATAATGTTATATCATCTTTGGATAAGCATCTGTGGTGGGAGGTTGGATCCAATGCCCCATGGACACAGAGGATGACCCTGCCAGTTAGTAATAACTCATCCTAATGTCTTTCAGCTCTATAACTTCCTTCGATTTTGTGAGATGCTTATTAAGAGTTGCAAAGTAAAAACTATTCACCTTCTTACCTCTCTGGATGTAGTAAGTATCTAAAAGAATTGATCTTTTTTGTAATTTACTGACTTTATTCAGTTAAAAGATGTAGTAGTCCAATCAAGGAAAACCTGAATGAGGTACTTCAGCTAGATTTATTTCTTTGAGGAAAAACTTATCAGCTATAATAAGTGTAGTACATCTTGAGAAAGATGTTGACCTTGTATTTGGTCATTTTGTTAGGCTCAATTTGTTTAAGTAGTTAGTTTAGTCTCCTGGATACTGTTGGTCATTTTATCTCTTTACCCTTTATATCTGTGATTACTAACATGATAGTAGGTATCTCTGTCTTGATTTGGACAAAAATAAGTAATCCTTCTAAATAATAGTTTCCATGATTAATTTGAGAAGTAGGCAGCCCCACTAGGATTAGTAAACATCATTGCTAAAATGCATTTAAGACACTGAAGCTAGAAAGTAACTTTTAATTTTAATCCATTTGTGATACCTGTTCGTTAAATTTATTTTGCTTTAATTTTTTTAACAAGGTTTCACTTTTTGCCTGGGCCTGCTTGTACTGCAACCCCACTATTCATTGCTACTTGCCATATCTGGGATGACAGGTGCATGCCACTATGTCCAGCCTTTGCTACTAAGATGGTCTCACAAACCTTTATTTTATTTTTTGGTCATGGGGCTTGAACTCCGGGCTTGGACACTGTCCCTGAGCTCTTCAGCTCAAGGCGAGCACTCTATCGCTTGAGCCACAGTGCTACTTCCGGTTTTCAAGTGGTTTATTGGAGATAAGAGTCTCACGGACTTTCCTGCCCAGGCTGGCTTTGAACCGTGATCCTCAGATCTCAGCCTCCTGAGTAGCTAGGATTACAGGTGTGAGCCACTGGCACCTGCCCAGTCTCACAAACTTTTTACTCCCCTTTGGCTGGCTTTAAACTGTAATCCTCCCAATCTCAGCCTCTCCATCACTAGGTGTGGGCTGCTGTGCCCAGCTAATAATGTGAAATATTAATAAATGAGGCTGGGAATGTGGCTTAGTAGTAGAGTGCTTTCTTAGCATGCATGAAGCCCTGGGTTCAATTCCTTAGTACCACATAAACGGAAAAAGCCACAAGTGGCACTGTGGCTCAAGTGATAAAGTGCTAGACTTGAGCAAAAAAGCTCAGGGACAGTACCCAGGCCCTGAGTTCAAGCCTCAAGACTGGCAAAAATAAATAAAATAAATGAAGCAGTAAATTATGTTTTTGCCATTGACAGGGAAATAGGACAGAGCAGCTAAGTGCCCTGGATGAAATAAAACTGTCACTCAGAAGTCATGGAGTGCTGTTGGAAGTAGAATATTCTTCTTCAATACATGACCGAGAAATTAGGTTAGTATACAATAATATGTTAACTTTTATGCAGTTGAAACATACTTTAAACTGCTCTCTTCATGTTACTTATATATAAATATTATATTTAAAGATTAAAAATTCAATTAAAGGCCAATATTAGCAACTTATAAAGCAGAAACTTACTTTGCCCTGTGTGTTTATTATTTCCTAGTGGAATTGAATTTATATGTTGTGTCATGTAGGAAGAGGAGCACTTTTATCTATATTATACACAGTTGTGATACTGAAATAATTCCTTCTAATGAAATTAATACTGTGTGGTTTTATTTCCTGTTGGTTAAGAAATTATTTGGGTAGGCATGATAGTAATGTGTTAATAAAACAGTATGTACAGTTAATAATACTTTCCCTCTAGCACAATGGTTTTAATATGATTATAGCAATGGAATCGTCATGTTAAGTGAAAACTTAAGCCAGATCTAAATATTCAAAACAGATGGAAATGTAGCTGCTGTTGTTAAAGCAAAAGTCAGGGTCCAAAACTCCTCCTGCTTATACTTCCTCTCTCTGGGCAAGAGAACCCTTAGAACACTACCAGTCTCCCTGAATATACTTTGTCAACTACTTGTAAGCAGGAAATTTATATCAACAAGCTGAAGTTCATATGTAAGTTTTAATTGTTAGACACAACTCATCAAAGTCAGCTGATAGTTTCTAAGACCTTTTTGTTTCATTGTAGACAAGCAGCCCACTATTAACTACAGGTTTGACTCAAGTCTTCTTGCTACTAGCAGAAGTGGGTTCCTTTCTTTCCTAATTCTTTTTTTTTTTTTTTTTGGGGGGGGGGGTCGGTCGTGGGGCTTAAACTCTGGGCCTAGGTGCTGTCCTTCAGCTCTTCAGATTAAAACTAGCACTCCACCACTTGAGCCATAGTGCCACTTCCAATGGGTTCCTTTCTTAAAGGGAAATTTTTCTGATGCTTAATAATTGTCTGATTTAAACTTCCTGTATACTAATGTCAATAGGTTCAACAATGGATGGCAGATTAAAATTGGAAGGGGACTTGATTACTTTAAGAAACCACAGGTAAGATAATTTTATGGGTAAGTGTGTAACACGTAAGACTGTATTTGTTTTGATGTTTTGTTTTTAAATGAACTCCTGGGCTTAAATAATCATTTACCTCAGTTTCCCAAGTCTCTGGAACTACAGACACAGCCCCAAACCCCAGCTTAGTCATGCCATTTTTATTATTATTAAGTAGTTGAACAAAGGGGTTACAATTCCATGTCAGGTCATGAGTATAATGCTTCTTGGCCAATGTCACCCCTTCCTTCTTAGTCATGTCATTTTTAACAGTACTCTTATTTTCTTCCTAGGGCTGTTTTTCCCTTGGATATTGTGATTTTGATTTAAGGCCATGTCGTGAAACAACAGTGGACATTTTTCATAACAAGCACACAAAAAAATTATGATGGGTAGTAGCTTAATTCATATTGCACATTTCTACCTTTTATGATGCCATAACTACATAGCACACACTGGGTAACGAATAGAGATTTATTTAGCCCTTATTTCTGGGGGCTGAGAAGCCTTAATAGCATGCTGCTGGCATCTTTGAGGACCTTCCTGCCTCTTAACGTGGGTAGACATCATGTGACAACACAATATGCGTGTCTCAGAGAGTTTGGATCTGTAAAAGCCTGTGAGGCAGAGCCAGTCATCTCTCTGGTGTCCACTTCTCAACACTACTGCAATGAGGACCACATTTCCAACATATGAACTTTTGGGGACAAATACAAATTACAGCAAGGAAATATTGGATTCTTCTTTTTACTTTAAACATTTTTATAATGTGTGAATTTTTAAATAAACTTGTATTTCTACTAGGTTTTGGATTCATTGTTCAGTTGTGGAACACTGGTCACATCTACTTATTCTGTAGATTTACAATGTTTCTTTTCAAGTCATATAGCTAATTTAAACTTTTTTGTTTTTGCCAATTTTGATTTGGCTATTGGAGTATAAGTCAGTAAGTAATGAGCATCTATTACGAAGATGAATTGAATGTTAACCTTGTCTTGTAGTCTACGGTCCTGTAAGGAAAGTAATCTACCTTATGTCCTACCATATTGGATGTATATATATGTGTGTGTGTGTGTGTGTGTGTGTGTATATATATATATATATATATATATGAAGCATAATTCAATGTTTGAGATATTGCATTGCATACCTATGTTTATGACAGCTGTGTATACAAAAGCCAAACAGTGGAAATAGCTGAAATGCCCAACAACAGATGAATGAAATATCCCACATATATACCATAAAATACTAAACAGCTACAAAAAAATACATGAAATCATGTCATTTTTATAAGAAAATGAATAAAACTGAAGATCATGTTGAGTGAGATAAGGCAATCTCAAAAAGCCATATATATGTACATATATGTATTATATATGCAAATATACAATATAACTTAAAATATAAATATGTAAATTTGCATATGTATATGAGAGATAATTCTGTGGGACTATTTAGTTTTTTTTTTGTTTTTTTGGTTTTGTTTTTTTTTTGGTCCGGTCGTGAAGCCTGAACTCTGGGCCTGGGCACTGTCCCTCAGCTCTTCAGCTCAAGGCTAGCATTCTACCACTTGAGCCACAGCGCCACTTCCGGCTTTTTTCTTTTTGCTTATGTGGTGCTGAGAAATTGAACCGAGGGCCTCATGCATGCAAGGCAAGCGCTCTACCACTGAGCTACCTTCCCAGCCCTGTGGGACTATTTAGGAGGATGAGGGAAAGGGAAAAGGGAAATTGGAAGATGGAGGGTGAATAATTTTAAAACAGTATAACTATATGTGAAGGTAACAAAATGAATCTCAATGAAAGCTGTTGACCAATGTGGAGCTATGGGGGTAAGGAAAGAGAAACAATACAGAAAGTTATTCTAAATAAAATATAACGTGCATATTTGAAACACCATAATGAAGCTCCTTGGTGGACTTAATATGCACTAAAAAAAGTTAGTGAATATTAATTGTACAAAACAATGGGTTCCATTATGAAAAGTGCCAATTAGAAACCTTGTTGATTTTTTGTCAGTCGTGGGGCTTGAACTCTGGGCAGGGGTGCTGTCCCTAAGCTCTTCAGCTCAAGGCAAGTGCTCTACCACTTAAGCCACAGACCACTTCCAGTTTTCTGGTGGTTATTTGGAGGTAAGAGTCTCACAGGCTTTCCTGCCTGGGCTGGCTTTGAACCATGATCCTCAGTTCTCAGCCTCCTGAGTAGCTAGGATTACAGGCATAAGCCACCTGTGCCTGGTTCAAGAGAAACTTGAAAATTCATATTACTTGACCTTTCAGGAGCATTTTACCCAGTTACCAATTCCCCTTTTTTGCAGCTTTCATGTAATGCATATTTTTCTTCTATCCTCCCTTTAAAATATAGGACTTTGTTGGGCTGAAGTTGTCTAGTGGTAATTAGCATGCATGAGGCCCCGAGTTCAATTCCCCAGTACTAAAACTGAAACCAAAACAAAAATAGGAAGAGTTCCCCTAAATGAGGTAGTCTTTTTTTCTTAAACCTGTACTAATCTCCTTAATGATTGCACCTTTCAGTATTCTCAGTAAAAATAAAAACTGCTAGTACTTAATGAAAGCAAAGGGATCTTTTGTAATGATAGTTAATTGGTTTGAACAATCACAAGAGCTATAGACTGAGATGTGTAGCCTACAGAGAAATATCGTGACCCAGATTAAACATATGCTACCCTGCTGCCTCAGATGGATAAAGGGTTGGCTGGGGTAGGCCGCACCACTTTCATTGGCAGTGTTAGCCTTTACTAATGGCAGCAAGTCAAGCTCCTGGACTCCAGTAGTGAAGGCTTCTAATTCAGTCAAGCCCCAGGTTCTCTACAACACCACTGTGCAATTCAAAGTCTGGAGCCAGTGTTTCTAATTGGCAGAGCCTAAGTCATGTGCCCAAATCCTGAGGCTGAGAAAATACATATAGCACACAGTGAGATGTTCAGTTTCCATGTAGAACATGGACTCTACTTCCTACCAAGTCTTAGTTGGTAGAGAATTTCCCAAGAATCTGATATTCAGATGGTAAACAAAATGTAAAACTTCAGATGAATTCCCAAAGTCTAGCAGCATTCTCTTGTCCTGTTCATATGCTCCCAACTCTCAAATATGTTAACCAAGATTTCTAGTTAGAGTTTAAATTTAGGTTGCTCTATGGCATCTCAGAAGTATTTCAAGAACAATATCCCAACTGAACTCTTCCTAGATATCTTCATTCTGTTTATTCCCATTAGTCCAGTTGCTCAAATAAGGAATCAGTCATTTCTGTCATTCTCATCCCAGTATATAAACTTCACAAAGTTCTGTGGTATGTCCACATATTCTGAATTTATCTGTACTATTCTTTTGTCCATTTGTTTGTAATGTGATCATATTTTCTCTTGAGAAGCAAAATTACTGCATTGAACACATCACATTGGGGGTTTTAATGCCTTTCTCAGAAAGTAATTTTCACACATTTCAACAGATATGTTTAAAAATATGCCCAATAGCTGGTCTGGAGGTGTAGCTCAATCATATAGCAAGGGCAAGGCCTTGAACTCAAACCGCAGTGCTGTCAAGTGTGTTTCTAATATCCAGAAGAAATCTTCAAAATGAATTATGGTCAGACATGATTTAATAATTGCTAAAATCGCACAAAAGGACCTGTCTCAAAGGAAGATCAGCTAAGGTGCCAGTCGTGTTTGAAACAACTAAAACTTAAAATTCTCACTTGTGCCATTTCCAGTTGTAGGCAAAACCTTGTATCCTGTCCTGCTCTTTCCTGTCAAACAAAAAGGATGGGATCTGATCCACTTAGGTATCTAAAAGGAAATAATTTATAAAAGAGGGCTGAAATCAATGTGAAGTCCCAATACTGTGTTACAGTGCCTCAAGTAAAATGGTTTGTAGATATGTTAAGAGTCCTGAAACTCCTGGGTTGCGGGGTGAATTGTGTCTCCCTACCCGACATGTGTTGAAGTCCTTTAGAAAGTCCTTATAGTTGGTGATCCATTTTTTAACAATGTAATTATGAAGTTTTTAGTGTAGGCTGTATTCCAGTATGACTGGATATCTTTCCATGAGGAGGAAACTTGGTTGTGAATATACATGCACAAAGAGGATAATCAATTAGGGATGCAAGAAGGTGGTTGTCTGCAAGCCAAGGAGAGCATTCACAGAAAAACAAAACAAAAAAAAACCCTGCTGGCCTTGGACCTTCATCTTACACTTTCACTGGCCTGTGGGGTCTTATGACATCCTTTGCAAGTCAGTATATTGCTTCAATATTTCCTTTTTCACCCGAGTCCAAATTAAGCCACTCCCTGAAAACAGGAGCCATACTAGCCTTCTACCCCTTTTTGGGGAATGATGCTGGGATTTGAACTTAGGCACTTTACTACTTGATATATCCATAGCCCATTTTGCTCTGGTTATTTTTGAGACAGGGTTTTGTTCTTCATGCTGGTGTGGACCACAATCTTCCTATTTATTCTTCCCATGGGAGCTGGGATGACAGGTTTGCACTGCCATGCATAGTTTTTCTGTTAAGATGCAGTCTCACAACTTTTTGTCCAAAATGGCCTCAGACTGCTTCCAGTCTAAGACTCAAAGTAACTAGGATTACAGGTGTGTGCTACTACACTCAGCTATTGTTAATTTCCAACAATTACCTAACACTCTCTCCACTTTTTTCCATGGCCACTGCCAGCACCATGTTTTGCCTGGACTCCTTTATAGCCTCTCAAGTGACTACTACCTATTGTGCACCACTTCAATAATCTTTTTTGTGTGTGTTTAAAATCACACTCTACATCAGTCTCTAGATGATCTTGATTTTTGCCCAAACAACTTCATCTTGCTGCATCCTCCTTATTCTCACAATGAGTTTGCCTGTACTTCCTACAGTGGGAGCAAGAAGCCTAGCTCATCCATGCTTTAGGGTCCCCCTTCTATATACTGTTCTGTGTGGTAAAAGTACTTTCCAAAATGGGCTACAATAAAATTTCCCATTCTGGTTCTTTTTTTACTAATGACTTTGAAATCATACTTATCTACATTCCCTTTCACTGAGCTTGAGTGTGCCTGTGACTACTGAAGTGCTACTATACCACTTCCAAGGCTGGATATAAAAGGAGATAGCCTTGCTTTCTTGGGTTAGATGTTCTGAGAATCTAGCTCCTAAGCAGTCCAAGTGAAAAGGAACTGAAGCTCTCAGCCCACAGACCCACCTGGAGCACCAGACAACGACCAGCATCAATTTGCAGCCATGTGAGTTACCCATCTTGAAAGCAGGTATTTGTGGCCTCAGCTAAGTTTCCTACCAATGCTGTTGGACCAAAGGAGATGGGCTGGGAAGGTGGCTTAGTGGTAGAGTGCTTGCCTTGCATGCATGAGGCCCTAGGTTCAATTCCTCAGCACCACATAAGCAAAAAGAAAAAAGCCGGAAGTGCTCTGTGGCTCAAGTGGTAGAGCACTAGCCTTGAGCTGAAGAGCTGAGGGACAGCGCCCAGACCTAGAGTCCAGGCCCCACGACCGGACCCCTCCCCCCCCCCAAAAAAAGGAGATATCCCTATGAAGCCCTTTTTAAACTGTAGATTTGTGAATGACTGCTCTTTTTAGCCACCAAGTTTTGGGAAGCTTTATTATGTACCAATGACCAGTATAACCTGGAATACTTTTTCTTCTTTTGTGTCAGTTTAAATGTCTTCTTCCTGATGGCTCTATCCCCTATTGTCTGTTTCCTCTTCCTCCATAGCTTCTGTTGGCTTGTAATTATTTACTGACTTGTTTTTCTACATTTTCTACTAGACTTGACTCAGAATTTGACTAGGCGCTAGCCATTACAGGAAGGATCAGGATCATTGTCAGAAGCCAGCTGGCATGTTTTTTTTTACATTTTAGACAACCTTTAAAAACTTTAGAGGGGCAGAGGGACAGAGGGATATTGCTACTGAAAGTCTTGGTTGTCAAGTGATTGGATTGAGAGATGAAGTAAGAAATGCCTAGATTAGTAAAACACACCTCTGGTGGATATGTCTGTGAATGCATCTGCAAACAAGGAAGACTCTATGTAATGTGGGCTGTATCACAATAAAGGCTAGAGGTCTGGATAGAACAAATAGTGAAGAGGAGGAAACCTACTAAAATGAGCATTCACTCTGTTTCCTGTCTGCTATGAGTTAAGCAGCTATGACATTTTGCCTCTCTACAAACAATGGATCCAGTCAACCATGAACCGAAACCTTGGAAACTGTAAGTTTCTGTTTCTCTCAGCTTTTTGTTACCATGACTAAAAAACTGCCTAATACCCATACAAAACAAACAAACAAACAAACAAAGAACTGACCAGGCACCTGTGGCTCACGCTTGAAATCCTCCTAGTCACTCAAGAGGTTTAGATCTGAGGATTGTAGTTCAAAGCCAACCAGGGCAAAAAAGTCCTTGAGACTCTTATCTCCAATTAATCAGAAAACCAGATGTAGCACTGTGGCTCTAGTGGTAGAGTGCTAGCCATAAGCTGACGAGCTCAGGGACAGCACCCAGGCCCCGAGATCAAGCCCTACAACTGACACAAAACAAAAACCCCAAAGAACTCTGTAGTTAAGACTGTCTAGTATGATATATAAAAGCTGCTAAAATATAAATGTATGCCAGATATTAAAACAATGAACAAAGTTATGCATATCCTAGAGGACAACAGAAAAGGTTACGTTAGGTGATAAACAATTTCAGGTGGGAAGCACCAAGAGACTGAGCCTTTTATTATTATGAAGTTAAAATTTTTTATTATTCCAGCTGTGTACCAGTGGCTCACACCTGTAATCAGTTACTCAGCAGAGTGAGATCTGAGGATTTTGGTTCTAAGATGAAAGGGCAGAAAAGTCTGCAAGATTCCATCTGTAATTAATTAGCAAAAATGGCAGATTGGAGGTGTGGTTCAAGAGGTAGAGTGCCAGCTGTGAGTAAAAAAGACAAACTAGAGTGTGAGGCCATGAATTCAAACCCCACTTTGAATTCCAGTAAATGAAAGTTAATTGGAGTTACATTATTCCTTTGATTTTTTCACAGAGGATATTCCATTTACTATGTAATTCATAGTCTTCTGGATATGTTTTAAGTAACATATTTGTCATCAAAGTAGTTTCTATTGGGTAAAACTTGCTGCCAATAAAACCTGAACATAATGTATCACATACTTCCAGTGGCAACCAATGATCGGGTGCTTCAATATTGCACATTTCAATTCTTCCATTCTTTATGTCTATGAACACTTTAATTTCTACACATGACTGTTCATATAATACGTTAAAAGAAGTGTTTACACTGAACTTTGGAGTTTTGCCATATATCCACTCCCAAGTCTGTAGTTCCTTGGCTTTGCTCTTTATTCCAGGAAACAGTGTCTCATCTGTTGGGTTTATTAGGTTAATATGACTATCAATTTGATGATAAGTAGCATACCTTTCAGCAACAGCGTTCATCAGTACTTCACAAGTTAGTGTGGGATCTTTTTCCAAAAGATTTTTTACTACAGCAGGAATGCTAGCAGTAGCATTGCTCTTAATCCCTTGGTAAGGACTCTTCAGGAAAGAAGTCAAAGAGGCCCCATCAGTACTACACAGTAAGGTGCAATGGTGGTAAGCAGCAGTCCGGCCAATCTTAGAAGCTGTTCCTGAGATTTTATACTGTCCATCAAGTATAAGATCAAATCTTTTGGTAGCCTGCACATCCAACTGGGGTTGGACAGAGTTCAGAGCTTGCACAATTAATTTTAGATTCTTCATTCTATCGTACTTATTTTTAGTTGTAAAGAAGGTCAAATTGATATTACCCATATCATGGTAGACTGTTCCTCCTCCACTTTTTCTCCGAGCCAGTTTTATACCTTCTTCTCTCATCTGATTCAGGTTACATTCCTGCCAAGGATTCTGATGCCTACCAATTACAACAGAGGGAGAATTTCTCCAAAAGAAAAGAATGGGCTTGCCATCTAGATTGATATGATCATGGATCCAGTCTTCTACAGCCAGGTTTTGATATATATCATTGGAGACTGACTGTAAAATGAGCCCATTTTTTGCTGTGTTTTTAAAGCCAGCTGCTGGAACCTTGTGGTTACAAAGTAACTGGAAGCAATTCTTCACTGAAAATGGGATCAGCATGCTTTTAAAAATGGAAGACAAACATATTAATTGAATGGAAAATAAAATTAGTTTCATTTTCTAGCTATCAATAATTTGTATTTGATCCAAACTTATCTAAGCACCCAAATCCATCTGTTTTTCTTGCCTTTTAGCATTATCACAGCAGGGTACTCAATGGAAATAAATGAGATTAACTTCAAGAAGTATGTACCAACTACATTTTTATATATAGCAAGGCCAAATATTTTAAATTCACAAATGAGAAAATAACAGATAAGCTAAAAAGAGAAAATAAAAGAATCCATAGTCACACCACCTAGAGAGTATCACAATTAATACTTTGGTATAAACAACCAATCTTATGTCTGACTATATATACATGCATGCACCCACACACATACGGACTCCCTAGAAAACCTTTGTTTTTTGAGATAGGGAATCACTATGTTGCTCAGGCTGGCTTTGAGCTCTAGGTTCATATGATACTCCTGCCTCAGCATCTCAGGTAGCTAGGATTACATGTGTACATTAGTGAGCCTGGCTTTCACTCAATATTAAATCTATTTTTACATCAGCTTTAATTATTATGTAATTTCATTGTTAAATATACCAGTTTACCCTATCAGTATCTTAGTAGTATTCCTCTACTTGTTCTGTGTTATGAACAATCCCTTCTTGAATATATATATATATACATATATATATATATTTAGTTAGCTAGTTAGTTTTTTGTCAGTCATGGGGCCTGAATTCTGAGCCTGGGCGCTGTCCCTCAGCTCTTCAGCTTAAGGGTAGCACTCTACCACTTGAGACATAGCACTACTTCTGGCTTTTTACTGCTTTATGTGGTGCTGAGGAATGCCTCATGCATGCAAGGCAAGCACTTTTCCACTGAGCTACCTTCCCAAACCTTCCTGAATATTTTTATGGACAAAGAGATGTTCATTTATTTTTATATAATGTTTTAAAATAATTCCTATTTGACTTTGGGATATTTGATTTACTGCTTTTAAACTGGAATAAAGCCCCTGAGGTCAGAGAGAAGCAATCATATTATGAAGAATTACATGGCAAGATTATGAAAAATTTGTTTGGATAATTTTACACGTTACTATGTCAGCAATATTTGATGATAAAAGGCAGAAAATACTAGTTATCAAAATAGAGTATTCTAGCCAGGCGCTGGTGGCTCACACCTGTAATCCTAGCTACTCAGGAGGATGAGATCTGAGGATCACAGTTCAAAGCCAGCTAGAACAGGAATGTCTGTGAGACTCTTACCTCCAATTAACCACTAGAAAACTGGAAGTGCACTGTGTCTCAAGTGGTAGAGTACTTGCCTTACGCTGAAGAGCTCAAGGACAGCGCCCAGGCCCAAAGTTTAAGCCCAGCGATCAACACCCCCCCCCCCCCCCAAAAAAAAAAAGTGTACTCTGATTACCTTGTAACTAAATCATTTCTTTTTTTTTTTTAAGTATTTATTTGATGCCGGTACTGGGGCTTGAACTTAGGGCCTCAAGCTCTTGTTTGCTTTTTCACTCAAGGCTGGCACTCTACTACTCTCTACCACTTGAGCCAAACTTCCACTTCCACATTTTTGGTGGTTAGAGATAAGAGTCTCATGGATTTTTCTATCCTGACTAGTTTCAAACCACAATACTCATTTCAGTGTTCTGAGTAAGAGTACAGGTGTTAGCTGCCAGCTCAATTCTTTTTTTTTTTTTGAAAGATGTCTGTAATCCTACTTTAGGACAATTTTTTAGGTAAAATTCTTTTTTTTTTTTTTGGGTCCGGTCGTGGGGCCTGAACTCTGGGCCTGGGTGCTGTCCCTCAGCTCTTCAGCTCAAGGCTAGCACTCTACCACTTGAGCCACAGCACCACTTCTGGCTTTTTTTTTCTTTTTGCTTATATGGTGCTGAGGAATCGAACCCAGGGCCTCAGGCATGCAAGGCAAGTGCTCTACCACTGAGCCACCTTCCCAGCCCTAGGTAAAATTCTTTAATGACCTAAAACTATAATTTCTAAGTTAAAGAATCCACATTCTCATCATTCATCATATTTTAAAATGTATGTTACAGAAAAGTTGAACTAGCTTATATTCCCTCTGTCCAAGACCTGGAGAGTCTTGCCTGGTGCCAGTGGTTCATGCCTGTAATCCTAGCTACTAGGAGGATGAGATCTGAGGATCACAGTTCAAAGCCAGCCCGGGCAGGAAAGTCTGTGAGACTTTTATCTCCAATTAACCACCAGAAAACCGGAAGTGGTGCTGTGGCTCAAGTGGTAGAGCGCTTGCCTTGAGCTGAAAAGCTCAGGGACAGCGCCCTGGCCCAGAGTTCAAGTGCCACAACCAACAACAACAACACAAAGATCTAGAGTCTTAATAAAAGAAGGGAAATATTGGGTGGGAAGATGGCTCAGTGGTAGAGCGCTTGCCTTGCATGCCTGAGGCCCTGGGTTCGATTCCTCAGCACCACATAAGCAAAAAGAAAAAAACCGAAAGTGGCGCTGTGGCTCAAGTGGTAGAGCGCTAGCCTTGAGCTGAAGAGCTGAGGGACAGTGCCCAGGCCCAGAGTTCAGGCCCCACGACCGGACCCCAAAAAAAAAAAAAAAAAAAGAAGGGAAATATTGTATTGAGTCTTAAATCTGATAGTTTACCAAGTTGATGAGAGCTCTGTGTTCCACTCACATACAAAAGTAAGAGTCATCAAACAGTCAGGCATATTCTGGGGATTCCCTCCTAAGGACAAAGTTACACTACCAATATTCTGACTCCATAGAAGCCTATAGGTACACTGTCCTAGGAATTATATTCCCAGACTGCATTTCTTTGGTTAATTTCTATTTATTTTTATTGTTTTGATGATACTGGGGTTTGAACTCAAGGCCTCATATTTGCTAGGCAGGGTAGTCTACCATTTGAGCCATACTTTTCACCCTTGAATCTTGGTTTGATGATCCAACAAATACTTTTGGAATGCTTACTAGACACTGGAAGCAAGGGGATATAGAAAACAGGAGACTAGGCCATGTAGTCCTAAACATTTGGATTCTAAGAGCAGCTACGACCTACCGAAGTGTTTCAAGCAGGAAAGTGTTAAGTCAGCCACCATAATGTCTCTGCCAATATTGAACATGTATTAAAGGAGAGACTAGGGCCAAAGACAGAAATTAATTGACTGGGGGCAGTGGGAGATTGGAAGGGTTTGAAAGGGGAAACAGAGGAGGCAACAATGCTTGGTAAGAAATGTACCCATTATCTTGCCCATGTAATTGTAACCACTCTATACGGTATTTTCACAATTAAAAAAAGATAAAAAGAAAAAAAAAAGAAACTGAATGATCCAATTGCCTAAGCTAGAGAAAATGAGAGTACAAAATCGGCTAGCAGACATAGAAAGAGAGAGGAATAGCTAAGACAAGACATTAAGGAGTTGGACTCTTCGTGCCTTTAAGGAAATTTTACTGTCTCTACAATCTAGTGAAAGGCATTAACAACATGTAATGCAATAAGTTAAATATACTTCAAGTGCTGTGATAAGAGCCATCCAATCATCTAATTAGTTGAAATGACATCACAGCTCAGATGTAACAGGTAAAGAAAAGGATTTCAACCAGGATCCTCACATAGTATTTAATTCTACTAGCTGGTACTGATACTGATGAGTGTTAATAGGGAGTTGCAGAAGCAAAGAAGACAGCAAGAGGTCAGAGTGTGAAGAATCTTTAAATTCATGTTTAATGCTTGAACTTTACTCAGAGAACCATGGGGGAAGTGCTACACAGTTTTTTGTTTGTTTGGTTTTGTTGGGCTTGAACTCTGAGTCTGGGCACCGTCCTGAGCTTTTCAGCTCAAGGCAAGTGCTCTACCACCTTGAGCCACAGCGCCACTTCCAGTTTTCTGGTGGTTAATTGGAGATAAGAGTCTAATGGACATTCCTGCCCGGTCGCTTTGAACTGTGATCCTCAGATCTCATCCTCCTGAGTAGCTAGGATTACAGGCATGAACCACCAGTGCCCAGCCTAGTGCTACACAGTTTTAAAGAAGCCAGGAACTGACTGGAAGTCACACTTTAGCATCATCACCTATAGATTTAAGTATGGAAAATCTACAGTACTTGGTACTTGGGTGAATGATTAGAGGTATGGGGGAGGTAGAAGGGAAGGAAGAGAAGGGATCATGTCCTAATGACAAGTTTACACGCTCATATCTGACAGCATTCAAATCCCAACTCTTGACATCCCAGATGGATAACCTAAAGCAAACCAGTTGGCTTTTCTGGTTCTGCTCTCTTATTATACCTGTGGATAAGGACTCAACAGTATATTAGGTTAGATGAACAAATACAAGAAAAGTTCTTAGAAGAGTGCTGAGCACACAGAAAGTACATAATATTAAATATTTTCAACCCATACCTCCTATAAAAGACCGATAGGCGAGAGGGAATGAAAATATTTCATTTATTTTGACTGTGTTTAATTCATTTAGACTTGAGAGTCTATGGGTCCAAGATGAATAGATGGTAAATGAGGTTATGGGAGATGTCCAAAAAGGGTTCCATCAATGGACAAGAGGTTTCAATATAACCCTGAGAAGATGAAGAGATATGAAGAGATATGCAGAGCAAGAAGGGAGAGCTAAACAAACAAAAACTTGAGAATTTTGCTGAGGGTAGTAATGACTGCCTGTAATTCCAGCACACAGTAGCTGAGGACAAGGCTCAGGAATGTGAGGGCAGCTTTTCATATATATAAATTTCATATGAAAAAATGAAAATGTGATATTATGAAAGCTTCAATGACAGAAGACATTGAAAATAGATTATCATGAAGAAAGTTATGAACCAGATGTGCTGAGGAAATGGGAGACTAAGGGCAGATGAATTATTTTTTTCATTACTGAAGTAGAAAAGGTAGGGCAATAGTTAGAAGAAATCCAATTAGGAAAGGATGTAAGATATAAAAGAACCTGTAGTTATTTAGATGATGATAGGTGTAGGAGAGGCCAACACTAGTAAAGGGAGGTCCCTGAGAAAGTAGTGGTGTAGGGATTCAGAGTTCAGAAAGGAAGGCAGCCTTTACCTGCAGATAGGATCCTCTTCTATTGTGATTCAAGGGGGAAATGAATAGATGCAACTGTGTGTTGGATGCTACTAAACTTCAAAGTATTTGTGGAAATGAGATTCTCAAAGACTTTGTAACATATCCTTTCCTAAGATTAAGGCTCTCATTCTTGTTTAGCATATGTAAAATGTGGTAGGATAGCAAAGTAGTTAAGAGTTTTAGTTTCAATAGTGGCTCTTCCATTTACAAAGTAAATAATTTTAGAGAATTAGTTTAGTTGCTAATTGCTGCAATAGCCTTAGAACTCATAGCATAATTGAGAGAACTAAATATTATCATTTATAAACCATCATATCTTGCCAATACGAAATGTGTTGAAATGTTAACTTGTTATAGAGTCCTATCCTTCCCATCTCTTATTCTTCTGTTCATATTGTTCTGGTCATATAACCTGAATTCGTTCTATATACAAGGATCTCCAACCAAGACATTTCAAACTAGCATTTACCTTGATGAAGTAACCACAATCTACAGTATATTGGCTAAAACTGGAATCCTGGTAGGGTTCCAGAATGGATCCAGTCCATGTATTCGTCCAATGTGTGGATCATAGATTGTGTCTTGGTCTAATTTGAATATTCTGATAACACACAAGACATCTCCACTCAAGCACTGTGTGTATAGTGTGAATGACATATAATAAAGGTATTAATTCAACAATTTTGCATCTACTACAAGGCATGCATTGCACTTGGCACTTAGGGTTCATCAGCGAATCAAAAGGTGATAAGGACCATAGGAAAAAGAAAAAGTAGGACTAGGAAAGGGATGATTGAGAATGTGTATCTGAGAGAAAACTTTAGGCTAGGTCTCATGAAAATGGTGTAAGCAAGAACAAAGGGTTACAGTAAGAATCTAATATGTGCCAGAAACAATTTCACACATTAACCAAAAAACTGGCCTTGGTGACCATGCAGTATTTCAACTGACCCTAAATGATAAGAATCAACCACATAGAAAAAGTAGAAACAAAGGTATATCTAAAACAAATGTAAATGCCAACTTACTGAAACCAGGGACTACCAACCAAACGTTCCGATCAGCCTGTCCAATTACTAGCTGTTGGATCACTAATAAGCCAAATTCTCCTAAGTCTGATGGACCCCAAGGAGAGCTCCTCCTCTCAATGTATGGATTTGAGATTACCCTAGTCTTAGGCCAGGGTATACTCTACTCTTAGAGGAGCCTTGGATTCATCTTGTTTATTCTGTGCTCCAGGTGCAGAATTATACATAATGTCTTGTTTTAGTTGTCATGATAAAGTCAGGCCTTTGAAAGCTTGGCAAAAAAAAATGTTCTATAAAATCATTTTTAAAAATTTTCCTGTTCTCCTTTATTTTTTTTGCTTAAAGGGAGGCACTCTAGTAAATGAGCCACATCTTCACATCCAGCTTTTTGCTAATTAGAGGTAAGAATCTCTAAGACATTCCTGCTCAGTTTAGCTTAGAAACTTGATCCTCAGATCTCAGACTCCTGAGTAGGAATTCAAATGTGATCCACTTGAGCCCAGCTTCCACCCATCCCTTCCCCCCCACACACCCTCTTGTTTTGTAGGAGATGCAACCAAGAGTGTGGCACTGCAGGTGTTACTGAGCCGCATCTTTTAATTACGGTTACAGTTTTTGATGGGAATCTGCTTTGTTCTCATAACTAAATATTTTGAACTTTGCTAGCCCAGTCTCAGGCCCAGCAACTTAAATCGAAATAGGAAAGCCTACTCTCCCACCCTCTCAGGTGATGAGTGCCTGACAGGCGGGGCAGGAGACTTGCTAAAACAATGGGTTCCCAGGGCCAGACCTGCTTGAGAAACTGAACATCAGAGCTACCTTAAGCATCACCTTCCTTAGAGGCTTCCAGCCCGGTCATGTCCTCCTGACTCTTCTCAGGTCACCATGACGACCCTCTTCTTCAACTTCCCATGAAAGCGGATCCGGTCTGTCGAGTTCACTTTCTGATCTGTATTGCGATACCCTCATGCCTCAGTTTCCTAACAATTTCGTTCTTAAGTTTACTTTCACAGGAACCCTCCACTGACACTATGCACGGCCATCTATGCTTCTCATTTGGGCAGAAGAAAAAAGTACACTCCAAACAAGAGCACAGACACCAACAGAATCGAATCCATTCTTCCGAGCAGGCCCGGCTTCTCCATAAAACCCTGTGATTACCTGGCCGCCTTTCTGACAAGTAACTTACCTGGAACCTCATCCCTCTTTCTGTTGGGCTGTGGGCCCGCACAGTTTAACCGTTCCTAACAGTGAGGTTTCGTCATCCCGAGAGCTAAGGCCCCGTGGGCCGGCGGGCCTTGGCAGGCGGGCCTGCGAGGACCGGGCCTCGCCGCGGCTTGCGTTTCTCCCGCCAACTACAGCGTGACCTTCCGTGCGGGTCGTCCAAGCCCGGGTTAATCCTGCTTCCGGCTTCACTCACCTGCAGCTTCCGGTCACGCCTACTGCTCTTTTTTCACTTTTTGCCGGACGGTGCGGCGGAAGCACGCGTCGGTCTCAGCTCCACCCTCAGGCCGCACGCGCCCGCCCAGTCTTTCCCCCGTTGGCCACACCCATAGGCGGGGTTAGAGTCGGGCTCTCCCGCTCAGGACGGGCGGGAGGCGTGGCCACGCCCCGAGCACGCCACGCCTCCGTGCCTTACTCCCGCCTCGGATTTCCGCCCTCTGCTGGTCTCTTAAGGGTCCTACAAGGCGAGCCAGATTCAAGACCTGGAGTGGAAGACAAAGTCCTAGTGCAGCTGGGCGTTCTTTCGTCTAACTTCCTAAATAAAGGCCACCCAGGTGTGAAGGTAGCAGAGACCAGTGTGCCAGGCAGCAGCGGAGTATTTTATGGAGTTTTGAAGGGACTCTCCAGAAACCCAGAGCAGTCAGGGTACCAGCAAGTACAGTGCCCTTTATTGAACATGTGGGCACTGTGCTGGGTCTTTACCTATACCCTTTTAATATAGGAATTTCAGATCAGCTTTGAAAGTGGATTCCAAAGAAGAGATGTTTTTATACTTAGAGTTAAGTTGGACCGAGTGGATCACTCAAGATAGTGATTAGTATACTTGGAATTAACTGTAATTGGCAAGAGAAATCCCAAGACTCAGCCTGATGGGAAGTTCTCCCAGTAGTCAAGGAGCAAGGTAATGGTTTCTACTAGTTATTGTAATAAGCTGCTTCAAACGTTAGTGCTTAAAACAATGACTTATTAGCCGTGACCATTTTATGGGCAAGTTGGTGATTTCTCTGCTAGTTCCAACAAGACTTATTCTGTGGCTTCACTGAGCAAGGGTTGGTTGAGCTGGGCTGTCTGAGGTGGCTGGTATGCATACTGTGGCAGATGGTGCTGGCTGGCTGCTGGAGCAGCTCAGTTCAGGCACTTCAGCCACATTCTTGTGTGCAAAACAACAAAGCCAGCCTAAAGTTAAGAGTAGGATAATGGACCAAGCTTCACCTGACTAGCTACTTCTCATCTCCTGGATGACCATCATCATCATAATCATCATCATCCACTTGGACAATTATGGGGTTGCAAAAATTAGCTGTCCTCCAATAACTATGTTATTCATTTCTCTGAATACTTTTTTTTCTTTATAATACACCATAGTTTATTTTTGCCGGTTGTGGGGCCTGAACTCTGGGCCTGGGTGCTGTCTCTTAGCTCGAGCCACAGCACCACTTCCGGCTTTTTCTGCTTAGGTGGTGCTGAGTAATGGAACCCAGGTCTTCATGCATGAAAGGCAAGCACTCCACCACTGAGCCAACTTCCCAACCCCAGTATACCACAGTTTATATCCTATATAATCAATGGTTATGTTCTGTCTTCGTTGGCAGACAGACAGCACTGTGAAGGCACTGAGTATTTATTCATTGACATGTCTCCAGCAACAAGCATACTATTGGCTAGGTGAACAATGAATGATTTGCGTATTTTTTTCATTCCAAAAGAATTATCTTCTGTAAAGAACTTAAAAAAAATTGTGTCTTTTGGGCTTATGTTCCATTTAACATTAAAAAAAAACTTTAGGATCATTATTCCCTACAACTACATTTAGTATTTTTCTGATTTATAAAATATTATAAAATATTTTTACTCAAAGATGCCCTTTCCTGTTCTTAGTATTAAGGAGATTAAGCAATTGGGTAATAGAGACAGTAACTATATATTAGATTATAGGAACATGTTACAAAATATACATAAGATATGCTGGGTGAATTTAGCTTGTAGCAGAGCACATGCTCAGAATGTCCAGGCCCAAGGTTCAACCCCTAGCACTCCCTGCTCCCCCCCAAAAAAACCCCTAAAAGCAACAAATCATACAGAATACAAATAGTTTAGTATATATCTGGATACAGAATAGCTTTAATTTCATCTAACATTACATAGGATAATACTGTTGTTTCAAGCTCCCAGATATTTCAAACACTGGCATATAACAAGAATTTCTTCAAAAGTTTTTTTTTTTTTCTTTAAAGGTAGTATAAAATGGTAGCATCTGAGAGATTAACTATTACACTTGGAAAAAGCTATTTCCTAATTTGGAAATAGATTCAACATGGGGAATAGGAGGTTTAAAATGTGAAATATTCCTGATGGACAATTAACTTGTCTTTTGCAGATTATCTGTAGTGATCTTTTATACTACAAATGTAAAATGTACAAAGATACACTATCTTAACACAAAAATCCCAAGCTGTCAATGCAACATACAAAAGTAGTATACTGGAAATAGGGTGAAACACTCATCAATTACTTAGACACTTAAAAAAACTACTTTTTAAAGAAATTGGATGTTTTGGTGACATTCAAACATTGTTATTAAAAAAAAAAAACCTCTGGTTTTTACTGAGGATAGAACATAATCCTAGAAAGACATATTTTGAATTTTGGGAAGGCTTTTTTTCCCTAAAGCAACTGCTTTTTGATATGGACTATCAAAAATATAGTTTAAGATGATTTATGAACTCATTTTGTTATGTTTCTGTAATATTGTTCAGACCTAATGCAAACCTCCTCTTAATCAAAAGCAATTTTTGGTTTCTTTGGTAAAATGTACAAATTACTTCATTCCACATCAGTCATTTCTATTCCATCACTTTCTTTAACATATATTACTGGGCCCAAATCTTTCTCTGAAAAACATTCTGTGCCAGTCCCTTCAGTTCTTGTGAAGTTTTCTTGGTTTCTGTCTTCTAGTCTTATTTTATTGGTGTTTTGAAATAACCGAGTCACGGGTTCCAGCCTGCTTTGCTCAGTCACTCTCATTAAGTGATCATCCACTTTTGAATTCATTTCCATAGCAGATATCTGACTAGCAGATTTACTAAGCCAAAATCCCATTGGGACAGCTGAACAAGTAGTTTAAACAGTGGAAATGTTTCTTCAATGTAATTACTGAAAAAAAAAAAAAAGGTATAAGTAACAAGTGAATACAATAAGAATTTCAACAACTTCACAGAAATGTTGGTTTAGAGGAAACATTATAGTAAGGTTAAAAATATAAAGTAAAACTGCCAATTTTTTTTCAAGTGTTACATTTTCTTTGTGGGAGGGTTTGCAAGGTTTATAATTTCTCTTAAAAGTCTTGTTACAAAAGGAATCTCCCTAGTCTTTCCTTTCAAGCATCATCTTGGGTAGCATACATAAAGGCTTAAACTTTACTAATTCTTTTTGTAAGGGAAGTACTTCTAAATTTCTCTATGAAGAATCTTTCTTTTAACCTTTAAATGTTCAACTAACAGTTTTTTTGCTCGTTTGTTTTTGGTGCTGGGGATCATAGCCTTCATTCTCCTAAACAATTAGCTCTATTACTGAGCACACCTCAAGCCCAAGTATTAAAGTTAGCACGTTCTTTTTTGTAAACTCAAAATAAGCTTAAAGTTCTAAGAGGTTACTGGATTATACATTATTTTGCCTAACACTTCAGGTGGGGCCTTGAGAGCCCATGTTTCTTCATTCCTTACTTAATCAATTAGGTGTAATTCTATTTGAGAGGAAATGTACTTCTTGATTTTCTGACACAATTAAGTTGAGGAACACTCAACTTAAATTTTCTAGTGTCTAGTTATGTTTACAAAGTTTATGGCAAATGAAAATTAAATAATATTAAGTATGATACTATATAATGACAGAAATATCGTAAAAGAATTCAGAGGCTGGAAAATCAAGGCATTTACATTTAAGTGTGCTTTTCTGAGAAAATGTTTTACCATAAAAGTTACTTATGCCTAATATTTTATGGAAAAGAATACTCACCTAAGTAAAACAGGAACTCTTAGTCTCCTCAAATGTGACCTTATATTTTGAAATGCATAGGCTTACACCATGTCTAGATCATCAGAGGACCACCATAAAAACCTACTGTCAGTGTCACCTGTGGAGGAAAAAACAGGAAACTTAATGTCATCATTATAAGTTCAGAAATTCTGCTTATTTAACTATATACTAAACATCAGGAAATATTTCTTCTTCAAGCTGAACTCCAAAACAACTCACAGAATGATGCAGTGCTCATTCTTTTTCACCTAAAAGCTAATTTCCCCACCTTTGGTAACATAATTAAAAAAAAACAATTTATTTTAATCAAACAGTCATATTTCCAGAATGCTCTTTAAAAAAATCAAATTTGTGGCCAACTGTCACAAGGTAACCCATCACAACGTCATGTACAATAATAAATTTTCCTCCCAAGTGCTTCCTTGCTCATTGGCTGGCACTCTATGACCTGTGCCACGCCTCCAAACCCTTAAAATCTGTAAATACAATTCTAACAGCAGAGTAACCATTATATAAGGTATGAGGAAAATACATGAACTATTACAGACTCAAGAGCCTATTTTCAAAATCTAAGAAAACAAAATGCCACAGATGAAAGGCAAGATGTGAAATTAAAGTGTTTCAACATCCTAGGTTGCACAGGTATCAAAAAATGTTTCGAAGGAAAAAAAAATCTTTTTGTGTTTTTCCAATATCTTAAAAGAGACAACAATTTTAAGGCAGTTGGGTCATCCAACACAGTACAGCGTTCAAGTGAAGTCAGTGCTCCCAGACTGAAGGCTTCTGAGATGGCAACTTTCAATAGTATTGGGGGGCTGGGGGGGGGGGTGGGGGGAAGCTGGGTGCTGGTGGCTCACGCCTGTCATCCGAGCTAATCAGGAGGCTGAGATCTGAGGAACGTAGTTCAAAGCCAGCCCGGGCAAGGAAAGTCAGTGAGACTCTGACATCCCAATAACCACCAAAAAACCGGAAGTGGAGCTGTGGCTCAAGTGGTAGAGCGCTTGCCTTGAACATATTGAGGCTCAGGGACAGCATCCAGGCCGAGTTCAAGCCCCAGGACCAGGAAAAGGAAAAAAACAAAAAACACCAAAATCGACACACTGTTAGCCCCTTGGGGCTATTTTTTCCTTGTTAATGGTGGCGACCTTTTCTGTAGTGGGGCGTTGGAGGGGGGAGTGACTTGGAGAAGGAATCTGGCCTTTTATTGCTAGTTTTGCCATCTGGCGATTCCATCGTGGGTCGACCGATCGTGCTGATCAAGACCGTCGGGTCTACGGGCTCCCCAGGCTTGGAGGCTGCCCAAGCTCACCAGGCAAGGTGGGCTCTCTCCCGGGGACAGCAGCAGGAGAAGGGGTACCGGACCAGGAGCACCCCGTCAAAACATTTCCCGGGTGAAGCAGGAACTGCTCCCAAGATCAGCGCTGGGGAGTGACCGTTTCACTGAACGTGGGTCCAGAACGATACGAAACCCTAGGGGAAGCGGCACAAGACCACCGCCTCCAAACAGTAAATGTTCCAGAGCAGCTGCGCAGAGGCACGCGAGTAACAGCCCTGCGCATGCGCGTTCTGCGGTGCCGCGGGAGTCGGGCGAGGGGAAGTGAGCGTGAGGATGGTTACTAGGAGACAGGACGCTCGGACGCGCGCCTCGACGCTGCGTGGGCTTGCGCCTGCGCGGCGCCGATGGGCCAGGAAGAGGACTCTCCTAGCCCTGAAAGAGGCTGGCAGGTGGAGCTTCGCGTCGCTACGTGCTTAGGTGCGCGCGCACGGCTCGTAGTCCCCGCGAGAGTGCGAGTCGAGCCAGGTACGCGTGCGCACGGGGCCTAGGGGCGCGCCGGACGGAAGTGGAGCGAAGGCGCCGGGGAGGTGGAAGAAGAGCCCCCCTCAGGTACAGAGCGTGAGGGCGGGGCCGACGGCAAGCGGGCCGGCGCTAACCGCCCCCCACCTCCTTCCCGCCAGGCCCCGCCTGTACTCCGCCTTCGCCGGGCCTGAGCCAGGTCAACTTGGGGGAGGGAAGGGAGGAGAAAGGGGCGGGAGGATGGAGACGGGGTGGGACCTGGGTCTCCAGCGAGGGACACAACCTGACAGTCGCCGGGATGAGCTCCGAGGTGGACGGTGGGCCGGAAAGCTCGGGGAGGGCCCCGGAGCTCCAGGTAGACGTCGAGGAGACGCGCCGGGGTGGGGGAAAGCTACTTGTGGGCCGGAAGGCGACTGCAGGAGGGGGCGTGGGGGTGGGTGGGGTGGGGTCTGAGGGTCGCCCCGGGTGGGGTGTCTCTGCTGGAGCCCGCTGCGCGGAGCGCGGGCGCGGGAAGACCACCGGAAGCAGATTTTCCCCGGGTTGCGGTGTCGTGAGGGGGTCAGGGTTAAACCTAGTTCCTATGGTGACCGCTCCGCTCCCTGCCGCGGCTCGCGGGTGCTGGGACTCAGTTCTGCTGAGTAGAAACTCTTTGGAGTGAAGCTGAGGAATTTGGAATCCGAGATCTGACCCCCCCGAATCGCTCACTTTTGAGCCACTTCTCTTTTACGGACCTGGAGAGGCGAAAGGCGGAACTCATGTAGGCATTTGCACGAGATTCTCAACAATTTCAATATTGTACACAAGAAAGGCAGGGCATGCTCGATTTTTGTCTGGAAAGCCCCCGAAGCCTCAAGTTGGTGGTGGCCTAAAAACACATGTGTGGGTGGGTGTATATACGTTCCTGAATCTATTATATTTGTTATGTATGTAAACATATGGATATGAATATGTGATCGGATCGATCGATCATCTCCATTCTTAAGTAAGAATTGTGGTTTCAGGAAAAGTTTGCATAGATGACAGCGTTCCGGTGTTTTCCTTCCTCCCACCCCAGTCCCTTACGTCCCAGAATTATTTGTTGTTTAAATTTCCTCTACTGGTTTTCAGCTTCTCAAGTACTTGTTTACTTGTGAAGAAATAAACAGAACAACGATCGGTTTGAAGAAAATAGAATAAATAGCATAAGGGAAGATGTTACATTCAACTGTTTCCAGGGTAAAACTAATGTTTGTTTGTATTTCAATTGCACAATGGACTCAGTCTGTCAGTCTTATTTATTGGGAAGTAGGAAGAGGATTGCATTAATGAAATATTTACTTAAAGCTCTAAACTTTGGCCCAGCGCCGGTGGCTCACGCCTGTAATCCTAGCTACTCAGGAGGCTGAGAGCTGAGGATCATGGTTCAAAGCCAGCCAGGGCAGGAAAGTCCGTGAGACTCTATTTCCAATAAACCACCAGGAAACTGGAAGTGGCGCTGTGGCTCAAGCGGTAGAGCGCTAGCCTTGGAGCTGAAGAGCTAAGGGACAGCGCCCAGGCCCAGAGTTCAAGCCCCACGACTGACAAAAGAAAAAAGAACACTAAACTTTGCTATTATCTAATAGCAACAATTCCCCAAACATACTTCATTTTGGTTACTTTCTGAAGAAAGATTACTTTTAGTACAGCATATAATCATGTGTAGATATTCTCTATGTTTTCTCTTCTGTCTTGTTTTAGGTGTTTTAGATTGTTTAGTTGTTTAGACAGCGGATGTTGTTATTTAGCGTATCACAGATCTAACAGATCACATACCCATTCCTCCATACTTTGCTGACTTCTATGATACTTATTTGCTTTTCCCTCTAGTTTCTCCATCTTTGTTTGTGAACACATATCTTATAGTTTTACTTGCTTTGTATGTAAGTGGTATTGTATATTTTATAGCAAGTTGCTTCTTTTTTTGTGTGTTCTGGACCTGAGCTTTTGTGCTCAAGGCTACCACACTACGACTTGAGCCACAGCTCCATTTTGGGCGTTTTGGTAGTTAATTGGAGATAAGAGTCTCACAACTTTACTGAGTGGGCTGGCTTTGAAACTCTATCTCCAGATTTCAGCCTCCTGAGTAGCTAGGATTACAGGCATGAGCCATCAGCACCTTGTGGCATGCTGTTTCTTAACATTGTGTTTTTAAGATTTATTCTTAACCTTACTTTTGCAGTAGTGGGTTCAAACTCAGAGCATTTTTATTGGTAAGCAGGCATTCTTCTGAGGTACACTTCCAGGGCTTTTATGCATTATGCATTTTTCAGATAGGCTCAGCCTTCCTGCCTGGCATATGTCTGAGCCATGATCTGCCTATTTTAAGCTTACCATGGTAGCTAAATAAAGGTGTGCACCACCTTGTCTAGCCCTTTTTTTTTGCCTAGGCTGGCCTTGAAGCTCAGTCCCAAGTCTCAGGCTCCCAAGTAGCTAGAATTACAGGTGTAGGCCACCAGCATTCAGCTTAGAGTTAACCTTATTATTGCTTGTACTTTGCTGGTTAGTGCTCCATTGTAAGGATCAACTCGACTTATTGCACGGTTAGTGGACAGTAAGGGACAATTATAAACAACATAACTGAACATTCTTGTACATTTTGAATCTTTTGAAGTGAACTAGTTAGTAAGTTGGTTCTTTTTGTCACTGTCATATTACTAAATCCTTTTAGTCTAGAAGCTTCCTGGAAACAACTATCCCTTTCTTGTATTTCCAAGTGTTCCTTGATAAACACTACCTCTCTTTAGGGCATTGTTTCATGCTGCATTGAAAAGACAAGTTTCTTTATACTATAAAAGAGATGGTAGAAAACAGAGTTTGGTGTTTGGATGGAATGATTGGAATGATGAGTTCTTCTTAAGCTAAACTGCAACTTTACTATTTTGTTCCAATTGAAATTCACAACATTTATTCACTTTTTTATTATAAATAAAAGACCTTCAAAATTATTCATAAATTCAGCCTAGGTTATGTCACTGAGCTTTTGTGCTCAAGGCTAGCACTATACCACTGGACTCACAGCTCCACTTCTGTTTTTTTGGTGTTTAATTGGCTATAAGAGTCTCAAGGATTTTCTTGCTTGGGTTAGCTCAAACCACTTTCCTCAGATTTCAGCCTCCTGAGTAGCTAGGATTGTAGGCAAGCCACCAGCACCCAGCCATTCATAAACTTCATAAACTTTTTTTTTTTGGCTGGTCCTGGGGCTTAAACTTAGGGCCTGATCGCTCTGAGCCTCTTTGAGCTCAAGACAAGTGCTGTACCACTTGAGCCACAGCACCATTTCCTGTTTTTTTTTCTGAGTAGTTTATTGGAGATGAGTCTTATCAGCTTCACTGGACATTGGTGAAAATGAACTAAGCAACTCAAGGGCTGTGATCAGAAGGAAGGAATGATAGAGAAAGAGGGAACAGCTGACACTAAGCAAAAGGAAAGAGAAGTACATAGCACCTGATTTGGAAGAAATAGTCTTATTGTTAAAGTTTGTGACCTTAGCTAGGTATAACTATGCAACAGTATTGTGAAATATATGTGGTCACTTAATCTCAATAAAGAAATATTAGGGGAAAAGAAAGTCTCATATTGCTGGACTTTCTTACCCAGTCTGGCTTCAAACCACAATCCTCAGATCTCAGCCTTCTGAGTAGCCAGGATTATAGGCATGAGCCACTGGCGCCTGGCTATAAACTTGTATGATGTTCAATAACCTTTTGATAGGGAGGTTGTTCCTATTTGAAAATGTCTTTAAATCTAAACTTTGTTTTTTGTTTTTTTGTTTTGTTGGTTGTGGGGCTTGAACTCTGGGCCTGAGTGCTGTCCCTCAGCTCTTCAGCTCAAGGCTAGCGATCTACCACTTGAGCTAGCGCCACTTCCTAAATCTAAACTTTTGAAGACAATTTTATTGTTTTTTTTTTTTTTTTTTTTTTGGGTCCAGTCGTGGGGCCTGAACTCTGGGCCTGGGTGCTGTCCCTCAGCTCTTCAGCTCAAGGCTAGCACTCTACCACTTGAGCCACAGCGCCACTTCTGGCTTTTTTCTTATGTGGTGCTGAGGAATCGAACCCAGGGCCTCGAGCATGCAAGGCAAGTGCTCTACCACTGAGCCACCTTCCCAGCCCCAATTTTATTGTTTTTATTTTTGTGTATATGTGCTTGAACTCAGCCGAGGAGCTCTTTTAGCTGTAGTAGGCTAGTGTTCTACCACTTAAGCCACAGCTCTATTTCTAGCTTTTTGGTGGTTAATTGGAGATAGAAGTCTCATATACTATCCTGCCTGGGATGGCTTCGAATTGCTGTCATATCTCATTCTATTGAGTACTAAGATTATAGGGGTGAGCCACTAGTGCCTGGCTTGAAGACTGTTAAAAAACAAACAAAAAAGCTAGATGAGATTCTGTGGAACAAGATTTCTAAACTGCATACAAAGCATGCCAATATTTTCAGTAGACATTTATAGAGCAAGTGTTAAATGCTTCATTATTTTGCTCACATTGTAATACCCTTTAATATGCTGTGTGCATGTGTGCCTGTGTGCATGCATGCATGCCTGCCTGCCTTCCTGTCTGTTTGTGCCTCTGTCTGTGCTCATGCCTTGAACAGGCTTGAACAGTGGGCCTCCTGCTTTTGCTGCTTTTTGTTCACTGCTGGCACTCTTACCAGTTAAGCCACACCTCCAGTCCTAGCTTTGTTTTGGTAGTTG